TAACTACAGTGCTGTAATGTCCGTTAAAATAATACATTACACGATAGTACATGCACACAGTTCCGTGTTTTTGGCTGCTGGATCTGAGAGGGCACTCATATTTGCAAAAAATTGCCTTAAACATGTGTAGACCTCTTCTTTGGTTCTTTCGGTAAAGTCACGTAGAATGAGAATAAAATAATAAATTGATAAAATAAAATAACACAATAATATTCTCACGACGTTTCGGCCACAACACAAGCGGCCTTCATCAGGTGAAGGGAGCGAGACTGTCTGGTAGGACAGCGCTGGAGTGAGAGAGCCACGTTCAGATCACGGCTTTTAAGCTGTGTGAGAGGAACAAAGAGCCTTGACGAAGGAATTAGCATAAAATTTAGCATTGAAAAGGCTGAATGATTAGCTTGTGACTGGTCACAGAAATAGCTATGTTAAAAGTTAAAGCATACACATCCGCAGAGGCACCCATTGTTAAAAGGAATTAGCATAGAATTTAGCATTGAAATAGCTAAATTAAGGCATTCGCTTGTAACTGCTACAGAAATAGTTACGTTGAAGTCAGAGCATACACATTCACCGAGGCACTTAGTACAAATCAAAACAGGAGAATTTAGCATTGAAATAACTAGGCGAATTTAGCATTGAAATAACTGGGTGATTTGCTGGTGACTGGTCACAGAAATGACTACACATCTGAGCTATTCACAGTACTATATAGTGAACCAATAAAAACTAAAATATAAATTACCTTCATGTTATCAAGCAGACTTGAAACACGGTAAGACGAACTCCTCTGCCGTGGCAGATCACTGTTACAATTCAGTGGGCTCACATGACATTGACTTCTCCAAGACGGAGGTTCTTTGCAAACCAACTGGCTACCATGAGAGATTCGTTCATGAGGCCATTCACATATACAAGCACAGAGACAATTTCAACCGAGAAGATGGATTCAGGCTTAGTAACCACTGGAAAGATGTGTTAAATCATTTCTGTTCTTAATTAATTGTAATTTTACGATGACCTTCAGACCGCAGCTCTTTCGCCAGCATTGCCTCTTAATACCTCTCACACCACGGTTAATGGTATGGTTTACAACATGGAGTATACTAGGGCTTCGCAGCTGTCTCTCTCCCCCTCCTCTGTTCCGACCATGGACGAACTCGTCCGTCTGAACGGGGCCCGTAGCTATCCGTGGTACGGAAATTTGAGGGTAAGAATCCACCCATTTTTTCGCCATATAGCATTGTGATATATAACGACTTATGGTTGGTAGCTTAGCTGATTGGAGAATATAGAGTTTATTGATAACATGAAGGTAATTTATATTTTAGTTTTTATTGGTTCACTATATAGTACTGTGAATAGCTCAGATGTGTAGTCATTTCTGTGACCAGTCACCAGCAAATCACCCAGTTATTTCAATGCTAAATTCGCCTAGTTATTTCAATGCTAAATTCTCCTGTTTTGATTTGTACTAAGTGCCTCGGTGAATGTGTATGCTCTGACTTCAACGTAACTATTTCTGTAGCAGTTACAAGCGAATGCCTTAATTTAGCTATTTCAATGCTAAATTCTATGCTAATTCCTTTTAACAATGGGTGCCTCTGCGGATGTGTATGCTTTAACTTTTAACATAGCTATTTCTGTGACCAGTCACAAGCTAATCATTCAGCCTTTTCAATGCTAAATTTTATGCTAATTCCTTCGTCAAGGCTCTTTGTTCCTCTCACACAGCTTAAAAGCCGTGATCTGAACGTGGCTCTCTCACTCCAGCGCTGTCCTACCAGACAGTCTCGCTCCCTTCACCTGATGAAGGCCGCTTGTGTTGTGGCCGAAACGTCGTGAGAATATTATTGTGTTATTTTATTTTATCAATTTATTATTTTATTCTCATTCTACGTGACTTTACCGAAAGAACCAAAGAAGATGAATCATTGCAGTCACGAAAGCTTTAAATCGAAATGTGTAGACCTCTACCGGTAATATTCAGAACTGTGCTCACAATTGAACGTGTAAACGTTGGCTAGCAAACCTTTCCAAGTGTTCGACTTGATACATTTAAACCGACGAGACAAAATAAAGAAACGACATTGTTCGCACAATTCCTGTAGTTATAATTTGTGTATTACACTGGCCTTTAGCGAATTTGGGGAACCATGATTTCCAGCCTTAACAAATTATGTGTATACATTGAAAGGAAACGGACATATACGCATGAAATACACCTTCCAAGAACAATCACTTTTGTTGAATATTTTTGCGAATTTTAGATGTTGTACAACAATGACGTAATTTGTCATTCATCAATTTGAAACCCAGTCATCGGCATGTGCAGATCTCTGCTGGTAAAATTGTATTACTGCAAGTGTGACGGAAATATAATCACAATGTAACTGGTGTACATTTGTAAATAATCATTGCGATATTGTTCTTCTCAAGCACATTTTGCCATGTTATCAAAATATTCCAATGATATTAATTACATTTTCATAACTTATCTTGAATAGGCCATGAACCTGTAGTATCACGTTCGTTCACACGCTATGGAAATTCCATGAAAATAAATGTTCACAATACTGTATGTGCTGATTTATACAAAAACATAAAGAAATGCCAGTGTATAAATGTGTTTTCCAAGAGCAATCTGTCCATGCTACGACTCAATACCATTGTTGCTCCACTCTTTTGAACTATAGATGTAATGGTATTGAACATAACAAATACAGTATGTGGTATGGCTTTATGTTACCAAACACATAAACCGTGCAATCTTAAGCAGATTAACTGTGCATGTGTTTATAATCTGGGAAGGAGCCAAAGAACGGGTTGTTTGTGTATGTAATTACCTTTTTGCTGCTTATCCCTCGCACCAACATTATGCTAGTCCCCCAGTTACATGCTAATTTATATGTAAACTCCTCTCCCCCCTCCCCTCGTCCGTCTGAACATAGCTCGTCGCTCTCCGTGGTGCTAATCACATGCTAATTTATATGTAAACTCCTTTGTCAAGGCGCTCTGTTCCTCCCACACAGCTTAAAAGACGCTGTCCATGCTTGGCAGGGTTCACTCAAGCGCTGTCTTCCAGACAGTCCTGTTTCTTCACCTGAGGAAGGCTACTTGTATTGTGGCCGAAAGGTCGTGAGAATTTTATTGTTATTATTTTTATTATTTTATTCCCATTCTACGTGACTTTACCGAAAGAACCCAGAAGATATGTAATTACCACTAAGTATATGTGCACTGACTGAAAACGGTCTTCTCCATCAGTGGTTCTTACCCTTTTATTGCAGCCTCGCATCCCTTTGGTTCTCAATCGTAAAAAAAGTATAATGTTAATAAATACGTAGGTCTTATGAAACTAAGTAGTTGTACTTATTTGCCCGTGCCTGATTTGTACTTCAATTATTTCCTGAATAAAATCTGGCACCCTCAGCAAGGGCATCTCGCACCTCCAGGGGGTGCGAGATGCCCCAGGTTAAGGACCACTGCTCTACGTGAATGTTAATTCATGGTTACAATTTAAATGTCGTATATTATGGAGCATACATTACTCCGCAAATAAACAGTGTGTGATGTATAGCATGCATATTATGTATACTATTATAGAATGTCATTACGGTGCATGCAGTACTCTGCAAGTTTTAATACAGACTGATAAATGGCATTTCTTTTAAGCACAATGAAGGAACTCCTCTACTTACGGCAAGTTAGGTTCCAGAGGTTTGTTCGTAAGTCGATTTGTTCGTAAGTCCAACTTTACTCCTTTCGATTCAAAACATCTTGTATGGCATGTACACTAAATACGGGTAATATCTTTAAAAGTTGTATAACACGATGTAACACTATTTTTGTTCGTGGGTACTGTGTTATTTTTTAATTGCTTATGCCTAAAAAGTATAGAAAATGGCTATTATTCCCCACAAACTTTGCTTTTGTGACCAGAACTTTACGTGAACCAAAGGCACAAATGTACACAGCGTTTTCTCATTGAAAATAGGTACATTTCGAAATATCACTGTCTTGGTCACAAAAGCAAAGTTTGTGGCGAATAATAGCCATTTTCTGTACTTTTGAGGCACAAGCAATTAGGAAAGAACACTTCCTAGCCAGGAACAATGTTTTGTTGTTACACAGTGTTATCTCTCCTGTAGATGAAGACGCTACTGTTCTTCATGTTCTGTATAAATGCCACTACCGCCATCTATTGAACTTACGACTCGGTCCGAACAGGCGACTGGGCATGATGCATAACCTGTCAACCCCTGATCAGTGCCTCCCTTATTATAGACACATTCACACCTTATTTGTCGTCACACCGTGCCCTTATAAACCCCAACGTTCATCCTCCACAAAGTCCCATCACAAGGGAGAAACACAAACAAATTACATGTTATTATTTTTTATTTAAAGCTTTCGTCACTGCAGGGATTCATATTCTTGGTTCTTTCGGTAAAGTCACCACGGAGAAGGGAAACAATAAAATAATAAAAATATAAAACAATAAAATTATCACGACGTTTCGACTGCAACACAAATGTTCTTGCTGTGGTTTTTCACACCCGATGATGATTGCTTGTGTTGCAGTCGAAACGTCGTGAGAATTTTACTGTTTTTTATTTTCATTATTTTATTGTTTCGCTTCTACGTGGTGACTTTACCGAAAGAACCAAGAATATAAATAGCATTTTTTTGCCCGTAACAACAACAGGGATGCATACGGACCAGGTTTGTGCGTATCTCTGAAAAGTTCCTAAGTCGAACGTTCGTGAGCGGAGGAGTCCCTGCAACGTTATTTTATTATGCAAAGGAGGTGCGTGTGACGTCACAGCCGCAGAGGATGTCGGGAGGCCGCGATTTAAAAATTTCAACGGAAATCTTAAGAATGGTTTGTATTTCCCACATGGGATGCGCGACGTCGGGCTTTTCCGCGAATCGCCATTGGCTGCGAGCGAGCGCGCGCCCGTACGCGGCCCTCGCGCGATTGGCCCGCGGGACTCGGCCTCCCCTATCAGCACTATGGATTTAAAACCGGTGAAGAACGCCCGGGCGGATCAAATTGTTGAATGCGTGGACGGTACCGACTTGGATTATCGTCACAACAACAACAATAATAATACGACGACAATAATTATAACAATAACAACTATTAGTCCTAGTTTCAGACTGTTAAATATTTTGTTTGTGTTAATTATAATGACGAACGCGCCGACGCAATCGAGGCTGCCGGTCTTGTGCAGGAACGCAGCGCCACAGAAGAGGGTCATCTCAGAGCAGGCGAAAGGTTTGGAGTCTTTCGATTATTCATTTAGTTCGTGCATACATACAAACTCTCATTCCTTCACTCGCTAAACACACTCACGAGCTGCTACATCTTCTCCGGGTTCACCTCTCGCCACGTTTCGAAACGTGCGCTTAGATTGTCGTAATTAGTTGTATTATTTGTGGCCGTGTGCCCTTTGGAAAAATAACTGAATAGATCGGTGGGCTTTACCTGCTATGATAATGAAATAGTTGTGTATATTTTAGTTAACCCATACGGTTTACCCCGTATTCTTTGTGCAGGGAAATTTTATTTTCAGGTCCATGCGGCGTACAGCCGTTTCAATACGGGCATACAAATTTGTGTTTATTTGTTTGTGTTTCTCTTCTTGTGATGGGACTTCTTTATAGGATGAACTTTGAGATTTATCACTCACGAGCCATTCCAGTCATGGTCCAGGAATTGATGATATGTTGAGAGGATAATAACTGTGGTAATAACAGTGCGTCACCACAACGCGTACACACGTGCGAGTGTGAGTGTAATACTGCGTGTCAAATAGTGAGATGCGCGGCCACCACCAATTACAATTATCTGAACCGGTCCTGGGCCTCCCCTAGGTCGACTTAGCCTCAAATTGGTACCTGGTTCAGTGTGTAGTAAATATCGCCACTGGGGATACAAAGGCGACCGGGCGTGGTGTTGGCCACCCACCCCCTCGTGTGCCGTGCCGGCCTTCATCGGTCTGTTAAGGCTACACGGGGGATTGTCAAACATGTAGGACATTGATTTCATTACCATAAAAGGTATATTGTTTCATATTGATGCTTGCTTTATACGATCAGTTGTTACTGTATAACAATGTGATACATAATATCGGTGTATCAATGACGTCGATGACTGCAGGTGAGATACCGCCTGATATCAAAAACAGCAAGAAGAAACGGTGGGACGTAAACACTCCAGCTGGACCGAAGGTTCAGGCCGCAAGCAATAAATCTATCGACAAAAGTAAACTCTGCAAACCAAAGCCACCCGTTTTCGACACAGCCATGCCCGCATCCTTCTTGTTTACAAAGTCTGGCTTGCAGATGGGAGTGAAGTTCAACACCCGTGGTCAGAGGTACACGTTTCACTCACAGGCAGTGCAGTTTTGTATGACCAGATGGAAATAAAAGTTTGGTATCAGGATGGTTTCTATAGATTTAGCACTTTTGTTCCATTGAGCGTGCTGCATTTGCGATGTATGTGCTTTTTTATGTTGTATTTTGTAGTACTACAGTTTCCAAGAATCCAAAGAAGTTGAAACATAATTCACGGAGTGCTGCTGCCTTTGGGTGAGTTGATCACATGTTGGTCAATACCATACTTCATGACTATGGGGATAAACCAAAACATATCTTAGATCGCAATGAATATCTGAATGCCCAAATACCAAAGTGAAACATAGAATACCCATAGTAATTGGGAAACATCCCCATTAATGTCTGAGCATTCCAGTTTCAGTGTATGTGAATTATATGTTCTTATATTCGCTTTAGTCTGTCCGTGAAGATGGTTTGGTACAGTCATCATCATCATCCATGGACAGATAGCCCATACGTGTCCAGCGCACATTTTGTCATTTGTTTCCACTTTCCTCTGTCTTGTGCCAATATGCTTAAGTAGTGGACATGTTTCTCGCACTAATCTCTTATGTCTTCAAGCTACTCTCTTTCTGGTCTTCCTCTCCGGTTTTGATACATTTTTCGTACACCACACTTTTTCATTTTCCTGTTATCCATCGTGTCTAAATAGTGCCAGTTTCCTTCTCATCACCGGCTGGATCAGGTATTCTTTAGGAGAATAAAACAGCATTAAGTACAATTTTGCATAAATACAAGTAGGATAGCTTGTGTTGTTTTTAAATGAATGAAGAGTAAGTCGATGATTGTGCATTTGTTTCAGTATATCAGCATTGGTGAAGTCTGAGGCTGCACTCTTTGAAAAAACTGACCAGCAAAGTGCCACAATTGAAGCATTGGAAGGAGAAGTCATTCAATACCGGGTATGCTTGTATAAAATTACTTAATTTACAATGGTCACTTTTATATTAATGAAAACCCACACATGTGCACTTCAACAACTTTACCGAAAGAGCTAAGAATATGAATAAGAATTAAAGTGTTGAGACAATTGTACTATGAGTGTTGCAAATATGCATGCAGAACAAATGTGTATCACAATTGTTGTGCGTCAAAGGCTTTGTAAATGGGGTTTGCTGGATTTGCAGGCAGAGGTGCTGAAATTTTCAGAAAATGTCAATCAACTGGAAAAGGAAAACCGTGATTGCAACAGGAAGCTCTATGAATGCCAGGAGTTCCTCAAAATCTTCCATTTGGATCCAGGTACTTCTGAACCTGTCTTTGTCAATGTGCATAGTTGTATAAATCATTATTTGAACGATTTCAGCTGAGGATTTTACTGAGATGCTTGACTTGCAAAGAACATCCACATTTGTGTCTGTATAAAAGATCAAGAGGCCAATTTCATAAGCAGTTCTGTGATATCTGGGGAATTCTCTAAGACAGTGGTACATTGTTCACAATCAGAGTTTGCATATAAATGTGTATCCTAATAACATGCTGAGTGCACAATTGGAAAGAGGGGTGAAAGAAACATGCATCAATTTATGTGTAATGGTTACTATGCTTGAGAGTTAAATGCACCTTTACTAAAAGGCATTTTTTATGTTTGCATGAGGTTGGCACATTCATACACTGGACTTGAAATTCATTGCTGGAATGGGAGTACAGTATAGCACTTTCTATGACGGTATTTTTAATCGGTTGGCAACAATAGTTATGGCTTTATTTTGTATTTGTACATTCACAGAGTCAGGCAAGCCAATTGTTAAAGCCATTTTGAAGAAAGATCTGAACACCAACTCACGGGTGAGCAAATGTCAATATTTCAATGTTTAAAAAGTAAGACATCCATAATTACTAGATGCTGATTGTGTAAACTTTTGCCCATTTTATTTTTTGTCAATGTTTGTTTTTTGCCATGTAGAAAAACTGTAGAGAAGTCTTATTACAACAAAGAAGATTGAATGAAAGACCAGAAACCACTATTACATCTCTGAAAGTGAGTACATGATGTGCACCTGCTTTGTAATGTTTGGGTGTTTGTGATATAATTAAATGCTGAATGAATCATCTACATCCTAGACTAGACAACATTAGCCCAATACTCCCAGTTGCTCCACTGACTCCAAAAAGTAATCAAAGATCCATTTAAAATTATGACTATCTTTTAAGATCTCCTGTTGACGTTCCCTTTCCTACTTCTCTATAATTTCTACTGCTTTCTGTGCACGCTGCACTTCATCAACCAAGGTTTTCTATCGAAGTCCCGTGGCAACCTTTGCTCTGGTCTCTTGTCTGCGTCGTCTATGGATGCCTCTGAAAATATGCCCATTTTTTTCATACAGCTTCTTGAGAAACAGTCACGTTATTGGATGATTGATAAATCCAAATTGTACCACATGTTGTGCAAAATCGGTTACATTTCAACGAGAAATTTAATCTAATAAAATGTGTCGGATTTATTTTCGAACCTGTTATTGAATTGGGCTGTTTTTTGTGAATTGACAGATGTTTTTCTTTTTGCATAACATGAATGTCGTGTAAGGCAATATGTGACCAGGCACAGTCAATGATGTCATCTACAGCCAAGATACACGAAGACCACATGCGTGCTATGAAGAATTTTATGGCAAAAATGGAAACACTACAGCAAGAGGTCAATTCAGATAACAGCATACTATAAAACGGTGCTGCTTGGCTATCACTTTGTTATAGCTTATGACATGTTTGCTTCTAGATTTGAAGCTTTCGTGACTGCAAGGATTCATACTCTTTGGTTTTTTAGGTAAAGTCACATAGGTAAAATAAAAGAAAACTAAATGAAATCACGACGTTTCGGAGGCAACACAAGCTTCCGTCTTCAGGTGGAACATGTTTGCTGTTTGGCACTGCAGGTCCTTTAAAACGTTTCACTTGAAGCGGATGAAAAGTATTGCCTGTTGTGGAATGTCATTGTTTATTTCGGGTTTAGATTTTTTAAAAAATGCCAAGAAAGATTTTGCACGACACCTGCTATCCTGGGTTCAAAGTATGATGCGGTTTAGGTATCCTTGCAAAAATGTTAGATTTAAAGATGAATGCATACAGTTTATTTTATGTTATCACTGAAGTTTCGTTTATTAAATTCCAGATTTGTTGAACTGCATCATTTGCATATCAATTGGCCATAAACAAAACCCAATATTTATATTATTTGGGTCTTTCGGTAAAGTCATGTAGATAGGTTCAAAGAAAATAACAAAAAACTGACGTTTCGATCGCACAAGCGGTCGTCTTCAGGAAAAGGGGGGTTAGCTTCCAAAGGCAAACTCTTAAGTACAAACTATAAGGGTTTGAAATGGGCGTAGTCCAAATGTCAGCAACCAATGTTCATTCAAGTGGTGGGCAGCCAACTCGACGGTAGCTGGTTTTCCACCAATCAAAGGGCTGCCAGGTGAAAATTCGGATGTTAATGAGAGATGAGCATGTTAATGGTAAATCGCAGAGCCGCAACCGAGGGGTAATCGGTGCGCGAAGTGGATGTTGGTGTGAAGCTTGTGAAATGGGCGTAAAGCACAACTAACATCGGAAGGTGGTAGGATGGGAACATCATAGCCAGTTTATGAGCCTAATTCTCACTTATATTTGACTGGCAATATCTTCAATTGATGTGTGAAACACTTGTATGTAATTGAGTTTAAGAAGGGATCTCGGAGGTAGCTCCGTGATATATGCGTCCATGGGCTGTTTTCTCACATGAATAGTAGAAATACTCTGAGGCAAACGAATGTATGCTGCCTCCTGATATTTGTAGCACAATCTGGATATAATTTGGGTAAATGAATGCATTCTATGAATTATGCAGAGTATTTTTGTGTAGTAAGTTTCAGAAAGGCCATGTTGGCAAATGTGATTGGTACAATGACTTCAGCATCTCATTGAAAATTAAGTATTGTTTTACCGAAATAACCAAGAATATGAATCCCTGCAGTCACGAAAGCTTTAAATCAAAACTTCACATTCTAATTGTAAATTTATGCTCACTCCAGCTTCCGCAGCTATGGTATTTGCAACAGTGCCTGTGTATAAAGCATCTGTCGAGGAACAAGTGTGTTTTAAACTTCGACATGTACGTGTAAGATTTGTTCTTGATTAATTGTCTGAAGCAGTGTGTTATTGTGTATCATAATGTATATTCGCTATATATATTTAAGCCTATACTCTGGTTCTTTCGGTAAAGTCACGTAGGTAGAAAAATAAAAAAGAACCAAGAGTGGATTCCTGCAGTTACGAAAGCTTCAAATCAAGATATGTTTTATCCTGTATAATATGCGAATAAAGTTATTGGCCTTAATGGCTTGTAAGTAGTGTAATATGGTGTTTTACTTATTTACCTAAATATACATTTCCTTTACTCAGAAAAAGCCATACCTAACCATATAAATGTTGATGAAATTCAGTGGACGTACAAATGTTCATTCAATGCTAAGTTTTTATATACAAAAATACCATACTTGATGGTAAACGGACCAGATAAGGCACCAACTACTATGGGGGCACTCCTGTACCGTACATGAAAACATCAAAAATAATTGATTTAAAACTGCTTTTTGTGTTGGCTACTTAGGGTGCCAAAGAACTTCAACATACCTACGTACATAACCTCTAAAATTGAGAACGGGATTGTTGTATATGTGGGTGTGTGAAAATTGATGAAAAATAATTAAAATTAAATGAAATTCGAAATTTGCATAATTAATCCGAAATTATGTTAATTCGTGTAATAATGCGTATAAACTATGGTAATTCGAGAGGTAATTGTTAATTTATACGAGTGGGTGTGGTTATGTTAATGATAGCCTTTATGATAATCAGGCCCCGCCTCGGGGTTATCAATCAGGATAACGCAATCAATCGTGAGCAGTTACGCTAGTGTAAATTTGGCCTCGTCTAACTTCGTATTATTGATCAGCATAATACAGTGATTCTCGCTTTAACACTCCCCGAGTGTTCATATTTTAGGTCCCAAGTTCATATTCGCTTTAAAGTTTAATGAGTGTGGATTGGTGTGTTTATAGTTTAGGTTCCCGAGTTCATATCTCATCGCAGAATACAGATCTTATGCAAAAATTTCAGGAAAGAATCACACGACCACTTCTGTATTAATCAATTTATTTCTAATTAAGCCTTAACTATAATATGTATGTGAACTCTCAATCTCTGAACTTCAACACGGTATCCACACGGTATCAAGACAGTATCATCAACGACTGTACGATTTCACTTTGATAACACATGGACCCCGCATAAAGCGATTGCTGTTAGTGAGAGAGAGTCAGAACATGCAAATGCTATGCTACACAAAAGCTTATACATTAATATGAACGATCATTATGCTTGAAATGGTCAGCACATCACAGACGATTGATTAACATGCAACGGTATTCATATAAAAAGACAAACAAAGAAGATTAATTAAACAGTTATTATTTCCAAAGGCATAAATGTAACAACAGATCCACCGGACAGACTATAAGATTACCGAAATGGCTTAGTGTGATGGTATGCGGCGGAACGTGTTATCTCACGGGAGATTCATTAATTCGTGAATAAGATTGTATGATCATAAAATCGGTTTAGCACGATTCCTCCCCGAGAGCGTAGCTCCGTGGCGAAGGTGCCATGGGTTAATTCGTATTGATGGATCGGTTGGTAACTTATGCGATTAGTAGTACAGTCCAAAACTAAATATTAAAGAGGAAAATTATGAATATACTTATAAACGACGGACTGTTATCACACGATCGATACTTCCACGGCCAGATGGTTCACGGACTTGAGTGTTCGCTTCTGGTTAAGGACCCGTGTATGTTTGAGTGATATAAATTGTTTTGAATAGTCAGTGTTTGGAATTCATTCTTTGCGTTAACATACGCCGAAGTTGGCATCGCTTGTAGGAGAAGTAGCCTCGCTCCCTTTAGAGCGGTGAGTGTGCGTGAGGGTGCATCATACGTATCGGCGTTCCCTCCTCCGCACAGCAGCCAGCCTCTGTCCACGGGGGGGAGTTGCTTAATCGCTCTCAGTGCTGCTCAGTGGACACCTCTCCACTGCTGGATGAGCTGCGCGATCACGCTCCCTCTGTGTGGAGAACTCGAACGTACTCGTTGCTGGTTTTCTGAAAGCAGGTTTCTCTCCACTGCTGGATGACTCAGGTCGCACACGCTCGTACTGGTTCTCTGACAGCAGGTTTTTCTCCACTGCTGGATGACTCAAGTCGCACGCGCTCTTGCTCTGGTTTGCAGAAGCTCTTGCTTGGTGCGTCAGGCGCGCTGCAGCTGGACTCAATGTAGAATAATCTTTCAGCAATACTCTGTCTTTCAGCTCTTGGAAATCCCACTCGGTGGCGCTTCACTACCCTGCGGGTCTTACCAACGTCAGTGGGTAGCGACGGGCCACTTTGGCCTCTGCTCGCCGCCCCCTGCTCTGCAGCTCGCCGGCTGGCGACCTGTTGCTCTCGTTCCCGATTTGAACTGCTCCTGAGCCGACCCACTGGTCGAACTCTCTCGCGTGTCGAACCTTCCCGAGTCGAACTCCCCCTGGTCGAACTCCCCGAGTTCCGACCCCTCCGAGTCGAACTGTCTCCCGAGAGTTGACCCCCCGGTCGAACTCTGGTGAGCCGTCCCCCCCCCCCCCCCCCCCCCCCCGGTCGAACTGAGGTTTCAATGCTCAGGATCCTCTTTTTATGCCCAAAAATCCCTTCACTCGGATCCTGCTCACAAGGCAGGGTTTCTTTCGATTTTTGCTGTGTCAGGATTTGTCCGTGTGTATCTGCGTCCGTGTGTGTGTGTCCGTACGTGTGTCAGTGTGTGTCCTTGTGTGGATCACCCACGGTATATTCCGTTGTCATACTCCTACCATAAAACCCACAAGTAAAACAATCAAATGTTATAAATTGTCTCGAAGGCGCCTCTCTGTCTGGGTGCACAACCTGGAGGGAGGGGCGATATTCCCTCCGACTTTCACCGACGCACAAAGAAATGGTTAAAAAGTTTTAAGTTAACATTTCATTTCATCAGAGTTCCACAGTTATGATTCTGTATTAATCCAAGGACTGGGTCAGCTTCCCGTTGTGGTGTTTGACTCGTGTTTCCCCGAGCGTATACACACTCCTACCCCGCGCTGCGAGGATACAAAGACGGCCGGGATCTCTCTTTGTCTCCGACCTTGGGTTTAACATCGCCCTTTGCTTACGTTGCAGTTTTGCTGTGCGCTTGCATTTCTTTTCCTCTCTACTCTTACTTTAACCCGGCTTATTATTTGCGTATGGGTGGATTAGAGCATTCATGTTGACTTAGGAAAACCTGATTGTTATAGGCTTCGGGTCAAGTCGTATAGAAATTATTAAAATATGGAAATACATTTCATATTAAATTAATAGATGGGTGATGGTTACATTGACGTAGCTTGTGGCAGGGTTCAATTGAAGTGGGTGTGAAGATCAATAACTTTAGCCTACCCTGTCGTTAAATTCCGACTTTAAGTTACTTTAATAGTAATGCAGAACCAATTAGCTTTTTGACTTAACTAGATCTAGGCTAACGCAAACTCCCAGTGACCCTGGCTTTGTGTTTACGTCAGCCCCTTGCAATCCGCTGTGCTCTGCTCTCTATCTGCTCCCTCTTGACCCTGGGAGGGCTCTGAACGTCAAAATCGTGTTAGTGGGTCATGGTAAATATGACCTCCACATGCCATGCTGAGGCCTGGTTTGGTGTTTTTATTCATTATTAAATAAAAAAAACAATAGAAATATGTATCTATATGTATCGACAAATTACTTATTAATATTAAGATGGAAAGGGGGGCATATACAGCAGGATGCAACAAGCAGATCTTGGACGCCAGGGAATTGACTTGCTCTATGATCTGGAATAGAAAGGGAACTGGTGAGGCGTATGATCAATGCAAGTGGCCAAGGTGAAGTTTAATTTCAACTTGAGTGATTCCTTAGCCACCAAAGAACTCGCCGCATACGGGGTAGACAACCTCTATTCCCATTCGAGTGTCATCAGCTATTAGACTGCTTGATTTTGCTATCGTATGCCAGAAACTAAGCATGCATCTCCATGCTGTGCAGCCTTAATAGCGTGTGCTCCATTATATGTATTTCTGATGTGTCAACGGGCAATGTGTAGTGATTGAAAACCTTTCAGCACAAGTGTCAGGCTGTCGGCCAGTGGTGAATGCAGAATTAGATACCCAAAAGCCATAAACGATTCGCATTCTCGTAACTATATGATTTTTCATGATTTGATTCAATAACGTATTCATTCTTTTGTTTTTACGATCTCATGTACAGTCCCGTTTTCATTGTGTAGTATATTTAAATTGCACAGCCCCATTTGTACTTTATTGTCATCTCCTATGTGCACTGCCTGGTCTCCGGTAGTCCCTCGTCTGTGCTGTTGCCTGTACTGCTCCGTAGGAGCCGCACTGTTGTGTCTGATTTAGCCTTTAGCTTCCACTCGCTGTCTCGTTTTGGTACTGTCGTCAATACTGAGTGATTACATTGTCCTGTTTCTTGTGTGTACTGTACTCTGTACTGGCTGTATTATCTGTATTTAAACTATACAGCCAGTACACCATCATCCCGTGTCCACGGCAGAGATACAGAGACCCGTTCTTTTCGCGAGAACAAATTGCGTGATGCGAATTATTTCAGGATAGACAGTGTAGACCAACTCATAGGCTTCATACATCATGCCCAACAATCAGAATCAGAACATGTATTCATACTGGAGGAATCCGATGATGTCCAGTAGATGTCCAAAACCTTACACATCTCACAATTCATTGTGAACATTGTCTCATTTTGGTTTAAAGCTTTCGTGACTGCAGTAATTCATATTCTTAGCTCTTTTGGTAAAGTCACGTTGAAGGGAAATAATAAAATATATATAAAACAATAAAAATTCTCACGACGTTTCGACCATTTGTGTTATGGTCGAAACGTGAGAATTTTTATTGTTTTATATATATTATTATTTTATTGTTTCCCTTCAACGTGACTTACCGAAAGAGCTAAGAATATAACATTGTCTCAATTAAAAATATATAAAAGGCGACGTATAACATTTATTTGTACATTTTTCAGGAAGTGTTGTATTGACTTTTTATTATTATTTGTGCTTGTATTACTGTAGCAAAGACTCTACCTGTCAACCCCTTATCAGTGCCCTATATTATACTGGTAGGAACCTCCTGGTTACACCAGCCCACGGGATTATTGTGTCCATCCGTCCGTCGTTCATTCAAAAATGGGAGGGGTGGGGAGGGCGGGGGGTGGGGAGGGTGGGGAGAGGGGAGGGTGGGGCTGGGTGGGGAGTGGGTGGGGCTGGGTGGGGAGGGGCTGGTCACCCCGTGGTGCCCTTATAAAACTCAACGTTTAACCTACTCACATACTCTTCGGTTCTATTCGGTAAAGTCACGTAGGTAAAAAATAAAACAAAAGTCACGACGTTTCGGCCACAACACAAGTGGCCTTCATCAGGTGAAGGGACTATGCTGTCACGAAGACAGCGTTGGAATCAAGAAAGTCAAGCCAGGTCGCGTCCTTTAAGCTGTGTGGGAGGAAACCAAACACTTTAACCTACTCACGCTGGCTTGTGCCCGCCCTCACAGTCGGGCAAATTTGCGGAATACACCACGTGGTGCCGCCGTTGACCCTGGCCATTGACCGAGCAACCCAACGTTCCTACAAGATGCCTCCGCAGGAATGTGTTTACAGACCAATTCAGATCTTATATTCTTAGCTCTTTCGGTAAAGTCACGTTGAAGGGAAACAATAAAATAATAAAAAATATATAAAACAATAAAAATTCTCACGACGTTTCGACCATAACACAAACGGTCGTCATCAGGTGTGAAAAAACCAACGGCAAGAAACATTTGAAAGAAGTGGCGGTCCGCATTAAGTTATTTATTTTTAAACGGTTTATTTATTTATAAAAAGCCTCAGCGCCACGCGCAGCGATTTGGCAGTTTATTTAGAAGGACGAGTCCATCTATGTTCTGAGAAGAGGAGGGGGGAGACGAAAAATTAATGTATTCTGTCTGAAAGCCACCCTAAGCGTGAACAATCAATTAAGACCCGATTGTTCACGCTTACGGTGGCTTTCAGACAGCATACATTAATTTTTCATCTCCCCCCTCCTCTTCTCAGAACATAGATGGACTCGTCCTTCTAAACAAACTGCCAAATCGCTGCGCGTGGCGCTGACGTTTTTTTAAATAAATAAGCAAACGTTTAAAATAAATAAATAAATGCAAACCGCCACTTCTTTCAAATGTTTCTTGCCGTTGGGTTTTCACACCTGATGATGACCGTTTGTGTTATGGTCGAAACGTCGTGAGAATTTTTATTGTTTCATATATTTTTTATTATTGTATTGTTTCCCTTCAACGTGACTTTACCGAAAGAGCTAAGAATATGAATTACTGCAGTCACGAAAGCTTTAAATCAAAATTTAATTCAGATCTTATTGGTCACCCCGTGCCCTTATAAATCTCAAGGTTCATCCTACAAAGTCCCATCACAAGGGAGTTTTCAGGTCCATATGGTTGTACGCCGTATGGACCTGAAAACTCAATTTAGCCGTACAAAAATTACGGGGTAAACCGTGTGGGCCATAATATAGTTTTTTTTTGGGGTGGGGGGGGGGTATATTCCGTAAATATATAAATGTGGCGTTAAACCCGCCACAGCCAAGTAGTAAGGTTTGTCACGTAAACAGAACATGCCAGTTCGTTACTAGTACAAACACACGGTGTGTTGGAGAGCAAATCACAAAATGTACAATCTGAGTACGACGTTTCGCCAGTAATTACAACTATCTTCATCAGGCGACAGCCGGGTTTGTTGCTGTCGCCTGATGTGTCGGGTGGTGGCGGGTTTAACGACACATTTATATTCACGCGATCTAAACCCACAAAAAAACACCCTATATTATGGATGATATTGGCCGCGAAAGCCTACGTGTTAAACCGTATGTGGTTGACGCGGTATGTGAACCGACTGTTGCCCATGCGTGTCATTGTCAAGCCCATTGAGCCCCAATGCAGCGGCGTGACAATTACCAAACGCGTTTCCTCCCAAAGTGCGTCCCGGCTTCCGTCATCTCGACCACCGCTTAAGTGGGCTTTCTCTGCCCGCGTTGGCGATTAACTGCGTCGAGTTGCGGCGCGCGGCTTTTTTTGTTTGTTTACGAACAACTTAAGGCGCGGCGATTCGGCGAGCTGCGCGGGGCAGGTAAGGGCACACGTAAAGCATCGCTGGAATCTTGACAGATGTTGAAAGTGTGGTCAAAACATTTGTGCAAATGTGTAGGCCTCGCTTTCCTAGGCCCAGTGCAGGCTTTACATAGCGTGCCCCAGCGGAGAGGGTTTAAAACGTTAACATTCGTAGTTTATCCGATCGGTTATATTTAACGCGTCTCATATTTTACACAGGCGTTAACGTGGTTGTGTAACGCGATGGCCGGCACCGTGAGCGCGTGTCGAGTTGACAACTGCTGCTTCTGAGTGCAGAGAGCCACTGTGCAGCGGCCTGTATTGAAATTAACGCGGTCGTGTACGCCTGATTGTTAATCCACTGCTGGATGACGGCCTCCGTCTGCCGTGTGGGGTTATTTGCCCATATTTCTGCTTACTGGTCAGTGCGAGCTGGTGAAGATAGCAGTACAACAATGGATAGTTTTGCTGCATTATCCTTATGCTCACGTATCCCCCCCATTATTGAAAGGGAGACACTTCCCATTATGAACAAATATGTTCTCTCGCCTACAATCGGGGCTGAAGTTATCCATGGTTCTCCCACATGAGTCAGAAGCTTCGTTAGTGAGAAGCAAAACACATGGAAAAGGAAGCCATACAATCAAAATAGTGTGGTCCATTTTTAAACACCCTATTAAAATAATATAATGGAGAATTTGGAGAAAACATTATATTCAGAACCTCTACATATATCCGACGAGTCTCTATGCCCTTGCTATTTTAACACTGAAAAATATAGAACCGTCGCTTTCACAATATTACATTTCAGAGGAAAGTGCAATGATTAATTCGTGTGGCATCTTATCACTGTAACACGCTGTGGAAACCTCCGCTTTAAATGAAGATTGGCCATTGGGTGAAAATTGAGGATGCGTGGTTTTTGTACTGCAAGTTCGGTTGAATGGTGAATTGGATAAGTTTTGTATTTCCGGAAGACCTCACCCATTAATACTAATACCTATGGAACCTTATATTGGTAGTAATTTAACAATGGTTAAAACATGAAAAATACTTACATATTACAAACATTTTTTTAATTCAAGGAGTAAACGGGCAATACAAAATGCGGATCGGCGAGTGTGAATAGATAACGTGAACATTGTGAATAAAGAAGAGAGGTTGTGCTGTGAATATAGATGAGTTGTGCACGTCTTATATATTTTTTATGGCATGTTTGGGGATTGAAACCGTTTTGCCTGTATTTATATTGTTATCAGGTGCCCGAGAGGCCGGGACAGCCATGTCGGACAGTGAAGGCAGCAACTCCTCGGACAACGAGGAGCAGGAGAGCTTCCACGGCAGTGAGGCCGAAGAGGCAGAGGAGGTGAGAACCTTTATAACAACCCAAAACTATTGTTTAACGTACTAGTTGGCAGTAAACACATTGGTTAAACACATCCTTTCTTACATGAACCTATACACGCTTCTTTGGTCTGTGTTGAGTTAGTTGCTCATGTCCTGTTTAGCAAATTATATACCATTGACTAATATGACAGAGACTAAAATCAAACCTATGCTTAATTAACTTTTGATTTAAAGCGTTCATATTCTTGGTTCTTATTGTTTCACTTAATTAACTTATTATAGCAGCTTTAATGTTTTCATGATGAGTGCATCCTTTGTTTTAATAATTGTGGACATAACTTATCTTTAAAGCGCAAATTAGCCACAATTTGTTTTCCTGTTTTGGCTATTACCTCAACTCGTGAAGTCTTTTTCGTGTTGTCATAAAGGATGAACCGTCAGAGAAGGGCAGCGTTACTGGCAGCGATAAGGAAGGAGAAGGCGAGGACTTGGTAGATGAAGACGAGTATGATGAGGAGGAGGAAGAGGAGGAGGAGTCGGGTCGGACAAGGAAGAAGCCTCGTCACAGCCAGTTCATCTTGGATGAAGCTGGTAATGCACTTTAGCAGAAACACCTGGTTCGCATTGACAAATACATCAAATGTAGCATCTGACAGTTACGAGTTCAAATTCTCGTTGATAATTACTGTTTTATAATCTATCTTGCATTAATAAAATATGTAACGATTTGTGACAAGCCTGTACTGTTATTAATGTGCATTAACTGACCCCTATCATAGAAATGTTAATTGTTTTACCTTTGTAAAAATTACCAAGAAATATTAACACAATAAATGCTCATCTAACAAGGGACACCAAACGATTAATTGGCTCTGTTAGGTACAAATTTTACTTGTGAAATTACTTATTTTTTTTCTAAATAACTTCATTTGTAGTTTTTTCTTGGTGTACTGATGATTGTCAAGTGATATACATGGGTATTGGCAAATTTCTGAACAGGTTGCAAATTTGCAGTGAAATTAGATTGAATGTCCGTGCTTTACAATAAAGCCTCGTTTTTAAAGCTTATACAATAATATAAATCAATCGGCCAATATCAGTGTGATCACATTGTATCTTCGCTATTTTTTTCTGTTGAAATGATGGGATTCATATGAGATGTTGGTGTTTTCCTGCAGATGTTGATGATGAATATGAGGACGACGAACAGTGGGAAGATGGAGCAGAAGACATCCTTGAGAAAGGTTTGGACAGTCGTGGTGGTGCATTGGCAGTGTGTATCGGGTTGATTTGCAATTGAGAATGGATGCCACTAAAACACTGCGTTTCTTTTCATGTGAAGAAAAAATTATGCTAAAGTTTCCATACACAAAAGGCTAATTTATTTTGACTTCAATTTGCAGCAATATTCAACCAACTGCTTATTAAATTTTTATATTGTTTCAGTATAATGTCTTGGACTTGTACAGTCCCACATATGTTGATTATTATTACTTTGGTAGATTTGGTCATATACTCTAAACGCAATTTAATTGTGTGTCAGTGGCTTCCATCCTGAGTTATTTGCACAACATTATTTCCCCCATTTTTCCTCTATTTCCTGCACCTTGCTTCGGTGCTTATTACACATTTTCCATTCTCCTGTTTTAATTTGGTTTCCTCCCATTTTGCCTTTTCATGAATGGTTGTGTTATTGTGCTGGTAATGTTTGGGTCAATGTGTGATCATCAATCCTGAGCAGAAGAACTTGATGGTAGGTTTTGATTTTTAAATATTTTTTTAACCTTTTGCATATTATTATGCATGTGCTAATTGACCTTGGGACGCTTGAGGAATGGTTTGTCATAGATTAAGGTGTTTTTTATACCTTGTTTTTACTTGCATGTAAATCACATTTCATTGTTGGTCTTAATATAGAGGGGGTGAGTGGAGGGCGCTTTGAATAATTTACGGTGAAGTTTTCGTGCACTTTTGTTCTACGCACATTTGTTTGTTTATCATGACAATACTGGGAGAATTATCTCTGCTAAAAACTGAAAGGGGTTGTGTAAGGCAGAATATTGTTAAAAAACTAACCGGTTTTTGTTAATCTTTGCTTATTAATAGTGCTCTTTAAAAACATATTACCCGCATACTTTTAAGTACTATTTTAACACAATCCTATGTACTTTTTTGTAGCCACAAACATTGATGATGTTCCGATTCGAAATGATGACAATTCTGGTGCGCGGAGGTTGCAGAACCTATGGAGGTAAGCCCTCTCCATGAAAAAAGATGTTTTATTGCTCCTTGGATAAGGACACTTATTTTGTATAAGTTGTGTGTCATTACCATGCAGGCTTATGTAATCGTATCACAATCTAAACAGACAAACCCTAGATGTGCCACCATCAAATAAGTTATTCATTTATATGGGTATGTGTCTACAGATGTAAGAAGGCATCCTCTTGGCCAGAGTTTTGAATCTCCCAGCATGTTTTAGGGAATATGGCTCTTTGATGGTTTCTGTCTTCCTCGAGATATCTATCCTGGGGTTTGGTAAACACATTACATTGAATGTGCTCTTGAAAACCAGCAGGAAATGTTTTGCTGATTAACTTTATACAATGCTATTATAGTTAATTGGTGTTTTTTTGCCAAGGTATGGTTGTCTGCCATTGCCAACTTGTAGCTGAATAATTGCCTTTGACATAGCTCACTATATCTGACAGTGACAATTATATTTTTCTGCATTACAAAATAAAATTTGTATTGTACCATAATTGTTCACTTTAATCTTTCAGGGAACAGCGTGAGGAGGAATTGGGTGAGTATTACATGAAGAAGTACGCCAATAGCTCGACTGGAGAACAGTAAGTGGTTTGTTTTAATCATACACCTATACCAATGTAGTGTCCTGCAATATAAAATAAACGTTCTGTTTCTCGTGTGAAAACTGCTATTTCATACTGTCCATTTGTGTTTAAAGTATCCATCCAGTATTATGAGAACAATGAGTTTAATCACTTTCATATGTTGGGACGCAATTGTTTCAGCTTTATTCCATATTAAAAGGTTTTTATTGTGATAATTTATATTTTTTTCAGCTATGGAGTTGGTGGTTCCGATGAACTATCAGATGACATTACTCAACAGCAACTGTTGCCTGGAGTCAAGTAGGATTTTTCCTCAATTTTCATTTCCTGTTGTAATAAGCATTGAATTAAAGTGAACATTGTTATACTAGTGTAACCGTTACATCTAAGATAAGTCTACCATTAAATCTTTGCAATAGCTTGTTCCTTTGTTTATATTTGAACAATAGCTTGGGTTCCACCTATACAAGTTTTAAAATTTGATTAAAATTGATTGCGATTCAGCAAGTATTCCCGATTTCAATTTTATTGATTAACATAATTGGGGGGGGGGGGTGTTTGAAATAATTTCCATAAGTTTTTTTTTTGCCATTGTAGTGAATATAGAATATACAGTGGCTGGAGAGTTTTCGTGAAGAAGTTACATTTCACATACGTTGAAGAAAATGTTATCTATGTAGTGATTGCATTCATATTTATTTTAAGCAGAAGAATATAATTTAATCATTCATTACATTTTTGTATTACCTGTGATAACTAATAATGTACCACTTTTCCCACATTATTTTGGCTAACAAACCATGATGTGTTTTACAGGGATCCCAATTTGTGGACCGTGAAGTGCAAGGTGTGTGGAAGTATTGAACATATACCTTAATTTGCAGATCTTAGCATAACGTAATTTGTCTCATTTGCAGTTTTTTTTTAAATTGCTTTGTAATGTTCTGTTCAAGCTTGGCGAGGAACGAGCAACAGCCATTGGACTGATGCGGAAGTTCATTGCTTACCAGTTCTCGGACACTGTAAGTGGTCTTTATTATCTTTGCACAAAACCACAATTTTTTACGCTTTACAAAATTCCTGTATCGTTATCTTTGGCCACCAGACATATTTTCAAGCCCTCCTACATTTATGAACTGTCAGTATAATATCTTAAACCTGCATAAGATGCCCTGGAAAATTAGATACACCCCCAAACTTGTGTCCGATGTCAAAGTTTTACAATTCTTGTCTCGCACACAGTCACATAGCTGATTTATAAGACCCAGCTTTATAATCTGGAGAATATGGTCTAAGTAATTTTTCTGTAGCTGAAAACAATTCACCATGTTACAATATTTACAAAGTTAACAAAGCTCTGCGAATGCTGTTGTACCAGGGCGCACAGCCCAGTAACATTTATGAGGACACTTTGTGTTCTGCTGGGTGTCTTAACCATGTCCTTTGTTTTTTTGTGTGCTTTTGCTCCATTCATCGCACAGCCAATGCAAATCAAGTCCGTGATAGCCCCGGAGCACCTGAAGGGCTACATCTACATCGAGGCCTACAAGCAGACCCATGTTAAGCAGGCCATCGAGGGAGTCGGAAACCTGCGCATGGGCTTCTGGAACCAGCAGATGGTGCCCATTAAGGAGATGACGGACGTGATGAAGGTGGTGAATGAGGTGACCAACCTCAAGCCAAAGTCCTGGGTGCGCCTCAGGCGGGGCATCTTCAAGGATGACATTGCGCAGGTGCAGATGAGCGCGTGGAGAAAAACGATTGCGTTGGTCACTGGCTTCCGTCTGTGATGGTGCTTGGAAATATTTGCTTTGTGCCAGTAAACGCTGAATGCACCCGATCTTTATCAGTTTTCGGGAAATTATACAGGGCTTGAGCCATGATAGTGCTTGGATGGGAGACCACTGTTATCCTCAACCCGCATGGTGTGGGGAGGCCCTTATTTTAGCAGTAGATTGACCAAAAACTTATACATGTACTCACGCCTATGCATTGTATTGTTTTTTAAACCTTAATATTTAGTCAAATGGTGTAGTGGTTGGCTGAAAACAGGTGTAATGAAGGCTTTTAGTTAGTCCCTCAGACCGTAACTTTTGTTTATTCTGTTTTAAATCAAATAATCGTTTGGTCTTCCCTCTTTTATTTTCTATATAGGCATTGTACTCTGCATATTTTTTGCAGAATTGACTTCATTTTATATTAATTATATATATCTCTTAAAATAGTCACTGTTTTGACATGAACCACTGAACATTCTGGAGTTGCACTAGAAACGTGCAGTGTGTTGTCCATTATAAAGAAGGTGATGATGATAAAACACTGTCATTGTGATTGCAAGGTGGATTATGTGGAGCCCAGTCAGAATACCATTGGGCTGAAGCTCATCCCACGCATTGACTATGAACGCATCAAATCCCGCATGAGCATGGTAAGTAATATTTTAGTACAGATGATGCTCTATAACATTGTATTGAAACAAGGTAATTATGTGTATATAGTCTAAAGTCATTTCATATATATAACGGTATTTTAATATGTTTAATCCCAAGTAATGTGCACACATTTAAATATCATAATAGCGTTTTTTCTAGTCCCAAAACCAGTAACGTTTCACAACATTTTGCCTTTGAGCTTCAGTTATCTGATTCCTTGGACAATAATGCAGTCATCCAAGCTCAATTAGAGTTCCAGATTTGGATCAATATGTTGCAACACAGGTAATCAAGGGCAGGATGAAGTACTCTTGGAAAATGTAATTTCATGATAAGAAAAACTTAACAATGTGTAAAAAGAAGCACATTCTCAGGCAGTTCATCTTTACTGACCATGGTATGGGTGGACTGTAACAATGAACATTGGAAAAAAGTCGAATAATATTGAAGATACATCGGTTGGAAGTTACGTTGAGAGACAGAGGAAGACATGGATCAGAGAAAAAAATAAACACCAAATAGAGACATTGACTGTTACGTAAGGTTTCAAGGTCTTTGGCAGGACACATTTATCATAGGAATGATAGTCAATGGACTAAACTGGTGGTGGAATGGCATTGTTGGACCTTAATGGATGACGACAACATGAGGTGGCCTTCATCCACCAGTGCATAGGTAATATTTGACAAAGATGATGATGACCGCGTTGCCAGGCACAATGAATACATCCTTTTGTTTACACATTTCCTATATTTAATGTATTTTTGCAAAAATACCCAATGCTTTGTGATTACAGAAAGACTGGTTTGCCAAGAGAAAGCGCTACAAGAGGCCACCACAGAGACTCTTTGACGTCGACAAAATAAGGTTCTTATCAATATTAATGACCCGTATTATGAAATGCAATCGGCAGTGCATAGAATACATGTGATATGGTTCAATACAAATGAAATTTTGAATGCGTAAATTCAGCACCCTTTTGTATGTAGCCTTTCCAAAATTGTGATGTCACCTGTCACATTGCTGCTCAGGTCTTTGGGAGGCGAGGTGACATCAGATGGTGATTTTCTGCAGTTTGAAGGAAACAAATACACCCGAAAGGGTTTCCTCATTAAGGGCTTCGCCATGTCGGCTGTGGTGAGTTGCGGTGAAGACTAATACCCTGTTGGCTGCAGACTATAGCTACACTTGCATGTAATTAGTTTATTATGTATATTTATATGCACTCTGCTTTTTAAGTGTTGGTTGCCATATTTAAAATTTGTGCTGTTAGTGGAGTTAATGAATTAACAATTGTCTCTGTAGGGGCTGCTTTACTGGAATATAATTTTGAACGCAAGGAATATTGGAACAATAGATAAATTTGCATTTAAATACATTTTTCTTGAAGTTTAGTGTGGTGTTGCTGTCTGGACAAGTGAGCTTGACTATTTCTGAAATGACGACTGCTGATTGATGCAGATCATTGAGGGAGTGAAGCCTACGCTATCTGAGCTGGAGAAGTTTGAGGATCAGCCAGAAGGAGTCGATTTGGAGCTCGTCTCTGAAGCAAAGGGTAATGTTTATTGTTTAGTGAAATAATGTAAACATATGACTAAAGCAATTTAATTGCAGACAATGTGGAAATCTATAGATTAAACATAAGTCTAAACATATAAATACGTAAACTTTAAACCTCATGTTTAATATATATTTTTACTTTTAATGCCTAACAGGTATGTTTTTTATATATTAATAGGATATATGATATTTGACTATCTAACCAGTGCCTTTTTTTCATGTCGCAGTACATTTATACCTGGCCACTACTTCCCTTATTAGGGATTTTGATAAACATACATGTAAACAAATTCAAATAATAAATGCAATGCTGAGAAACACGTAACCTTTGTCACACCACATCACTTTAGCATCGATCAATGATCCTTGGCAATGGAAACAGTGAGCAAGCTTATTTAACATATTGTGCGAGATTCTTGTAATTGTGAACTTTCTTTTTCATTTGACTCTTGGCAAAAACATTTATTTATCCATGACCAATAATGGACCACATTCCAAATGCTGTTTGTATAAAATTTTGTCCAGATTGAACGTAGCTTAAATTAAATTCAGACTTCGTATCTTAATTGGCGTAACCTGGATTAGAGGAATCTTCTGAAAGTGGTGACTCACACCATGGTCTGTGTTTCTGAGATTAAGTTACCAATAAATGGTTTCTCGAAAGTGCTACATTCATCCTTTTATGCGCATCTTTCCATTGATAAAACGTAACCCAAGAGTAGCAGCAAATTCATCCCATTGTTCTGTGTTTATCCGTTGCTGACCAGGGATAAAAGGAGTTACTGCCATAGATAGTGTACACCAATAGCCACCCCCCAATTGAGGAGCCTTACTATGTTGTGTTTGTTTATGCATGACAGGTAAAGGTGAGAAGGATCACAACTTCCAGCCTGGAGACAACGTGGAAGTGTGCGAGGGAGAGTTGATCAATCTGCAGGGCACAGTGCTCAGTGTCGATGGCAACAAAATCACAATCATGCCAAAGCACGAAGACCTCAAGGTGATGGGAAATGTTCATTTTTCTCCCTGAAAAGTAATTGATACCGTGGTTCCTTATAAAGGAGCAGGACAAGTATTTTAGCTATCCGTAGCCACTCTATTAAGGTTATGAATATGGTGTATTCAGTCGAAAATGACATAAGGGAATAAACACCTTTATTCTGGTTCTATGTCTGGCTTGGTAGCAATCAGAATGAAATTGCGATTGCATTAACATGATTGTTACATTATCACATGTAGCAAAACATTAATAATTCAGATTTAAATGACTGCATGCATCAAATAAAACAGTAAAATGTCAACAACTGGAAATAAAGTTCTAAAGACAAATGATATAAGATATTTCAGGATTGCTGTAATATCAGAAGAATACATGAACGATGTGAAGCTTGCCTTGAGCATAATACTAGCAGCCCACACATCCAAAGAATGTGACCGTCCCTCCCCCCCTCCCCTCCAGCCAGTGAGCAAATCTTTTTTCAAACATAGTATGATAGGATAACCCACGCCTTTGTGCGGGATGCACGGACTGGGGTGCAGGAGGGTGAATGGGGAGAGGTGTAATGTAAGCACGCACAAACCCGGCTGAACACTTTGGGATGCGGGTAACGTCGTCATGAAGACGTGCGTGTGGACGACACCACCGCGCACGCACGCTTACCCGCGTGCCAGTAATCCAACAAGGCGGCCAGCGAAAAAATCTAATGTTTAGTTTGATATTACTACTCATTTAATTCGATGCACGTGTTGTAAGCCAAATGGATCTTGTTTGCATATAGGACCCGCTCGAGTTCCCAGCGCATGAACTGCGCAAGTACTTCAAGATTGGCGACCACGTGAAGGTGATCGCGGGCCGATACGAGGGCGACACAGGACTCATCGTGCGTGCAGAGGAGAACTTTGTCATCCTCTTCTCTGACCTCACCATGCACGAGGTGATTTCTCTAGCAATTTCAGTGTTCTGCTACTCTATGATACTATATTGTTTTTAATTATAAGACACATTTTGTTCCCTTGTATTTTAAAGCACCTTAGAATCTTCAGATTACGTTTGTCTTCCAGAATAGTGGCTTGGAATTCTCTTTGCAAAACGATTCTCCGCCGCAATAAAATAACACCGAGAGGATTCGACAACAGAAGACATTCAGAATAATCTACCAGAAATACGTCGCGAATGCATTTTAAAGCAGCACATTCGTAATCATTTCATAGAAGGTGGCTCTTTATAATTCTTGTTTAACTTTTTTTATCCTAATCACAATTTGGAGGTGCATCTTTCCAAAGCATTTTATAATCTGGAGAATACAGTATCAGTAATGTTGTCATTGCACTCATTGATGCTAGTTGAAATATTTCTGCATATATTAAACCAAGTTGGCATTTTTGTGTACTTTATATTTTATGAAATTGACTGATTTCATGCTCATTCACTTGTGTAAAACATGTTGTCATATGTAAACCACATGACAAATTCGGGTGCATTCCACATTCCAGATGTTTTCGTCTCAAGTTAAAGTGTTACATATTATTGGGTTGCTGTGTGAAAGTCTGAGCATATTGCAGCTTTATTTACTGATGAGCGAGTGCTGCTCCTGTGTCATCCCCCCCCCCCTCCAACAGCTCAAGGTGCTGCCGCGCGACCTGCAGCTGTGCTCGGAGACGGCGTCGGGCGTGGACTCGGGCGGGCAGCACGAGTGGGGCGAACTGGTGCTGCTTGACCCACAGACCGTGGGCGTAATTGTGCGCCTTGAGAGGGAGACCTTCCAGGTCAGCCGAGCCACGACTTGCCGCACAGCAGCAGTTGATGTCGATGGCCGCTTTCTAGACGTCAAAATGTTCAACCCTGGAGGTGGCCATGTGGCTTAAGTTGCTAAGCACCTTGTCGGAAAATAGAGCTGGCACCACTGAATTACTGGTTTCGATTTCAGGCAGTGTTAAACATCCCAGTCCTGTTTCTAACTGTTATGGGTGTGGCCTTTGTGCGCCCAGGTGTTGAATATGTATGGAAAAGTGGTAACGCTGAAGCACCAGGCGGTGACGAAGAAGAGAGACAACCGGCACGCTGTGGCTCTTGACTCAGAGCAGAACAACATCCAAGTGAAGGATATCGTCAAGGTTATTGATGGTCCCCATTCGGTATGTTTTATCCATTTGATGGCTACAGAATTTTAAAAAAATATTGTTGGAATTTTACCATTTACGGATTAGTTTCTATCACTCTTCTGACGTTATTTCAAGACAGAGTAAGCATTTTTTATTGAGGCAATTATTCAATATTATTTTGTTTAAATCAAGAACCACATGTAAAGTATGCCTTATTGTGATATATTTGAACTTTTTTTAGAAAAAAATAGGTTATTCTGGTTTGGAATTTTATTACACTTTCAATTTGTTCTTTAAATGAAGTGAGAACCAAATGTGATCGATACATGTTGCAAAGAAGACCTTAATGTGATATTCTCGGATCGTGTAGAATTTTGTAATTAAGCCTTGTTCCCTTCAGAAGCAAATGCCTAACATGTGCTGGAGGATTGCCCAGGGAAGCCTGAGAGAGTGGATAACAGGATTGGTCATCGGTTTGGTTTGTCTGCTGTGGCAGGGCCGAGAGGGGGAGGTGAGGCACCTGTATCGCAGCTTCGCGTTCCTGCACTCAAAGAGGCTTGTGGAGAACGGAGGCATGTTCGTGTGCAAGACTCGGCACGTGGTGCTGGCTGGTGGGGCCAAGGTGGGAATCTTCTCATTCGTTGTGTTTGGTTTCTGTCGTTTTTTTACTGCAATGGCACCTGTGTATTGTTCCAGAGAGGAATACACTATCCTAATCTGATGAAAGCTTCAAATCAAGATCATCTGTGATTTGTTTCATTGAAGAAAACGAGGTTATACAGTGCTACGATTTTGTACTTTTGGTTGATGTTTTCACTTACATTTGCTGCCCTTGTCCACTCTGTGCAGCCGAGAGATGTGACCAACTTTTCAGTCGGGACATTTGCCCCCAAAAGCCCTCGCCTCGCCAGTCCCATGCATCCCAGCGGAGGAGGTGGGTGCAACAACAATGTGTTTTACTTTTTGCATCCTAATCAACAAATGAATTGGTCGACACAGCTTTGTTGACTTGCAAGACCCTGGAATTAAATCTACATTGCTGTGTTTGATTTTTCTTTGGCATATTGAATGGCACAGGTATGCAGAGAATGCAGCAGAACATGGGCCGTGGCAGAGGCCGCAGAGACACGGAGCTCATTGGGCAGACGGTGCGCATCACCCACGGTCCTTACAAAGGTAACTAATAATGTGTATTATGAAATAAACTAAAAGAGGGCTCAAGTTTTAGAAGTTATGTCTGATAAATGTTATACAACCCTTTATCAGCCCATTGGTAGGTTAAGGTCTCCAGACATTTTGTTGGATGTGGAAGTGTTATGACTTTAAGTCACCTCACTGGTTAATGGCCCAGGACAGGTTCAGATATCACTGATGTTATCCTTGGCTGGGAATCAAAATTACGTCACCATTTTTAGAGCAATACACTTAACTGTTCCAACACCACTCATCTGAAACAAATATAGGTCATGAATGTCAAGAGAACTGCTTCAGCAGGTGCACGCGAGTGCACATCATGTGCAATGCGTGTAAATGTGGGTTCATTACGATGGCCAGTTGCATGAGCAGCTGTTGCAAGAGGTGTTGCACTCTTTCTTCAGGATACATTGGTGTGGTCAAGGACGCGACAGAGTCGACTGCTCGTGTTGAGCTGCACTCAACGTGCCAGACCATTTCAGTGGACAGGACCCGCCTCCATTCTATGCGGTGTGTTTTGTTTGTGTTATCGAATACATAAACCGCACTGTTGAGGGAAACATACTCTTTGCATATGTACACACATTTGTAATAGACATCAAAGACATTACACAGCTTGCCGAAACATTGATCACATCATGCCATCATACGTAAACTAATATTCATATTACAGTTTTGTCACCAAAGCATAACTTTTTATTTCACAATGAATCGTTTACAACCATTTTAAATCCACTGTTGAATTAATTTCTCCCCACACCGTGATGGTCATATGACCTTGCTTGCCAGAAGTTTTATCTGTGGTCAATAATTTAACTCTAGTCGTCAGTTTCATAGCACAGTGCGCGTGCGAACTACTGCCAACACTTCCCCCATTTACTGTAAAGGTGGTGTAAAACAAAATATCTGGTCATTAATTTTTCATGAGGTGGGCATTACCTAGTGTTACCATGAATCATTTTATATTTACTATCAACTACTAACCACTATAGTTCCACCTCTTTCACCACCACATAAGTCTGTTAAATCTTTCATATTATATGAGCAGCTTGTTTATGTGTGCATGTTTAGGGATGGGATCAGGAGGACTGGCCAGACATCCACGTATGGTCGCACACCCATGTATGGGTCCCAGACTCCGATGTATGGGTCTGGCTCACGCACGCCAATGTATGGATCGCAGACGCCCCTGCATGATGGTAAGCCCTGTGTACATGTGATGTGTTTTTTTTTAATTTATAACTTTAATAAAGCTTTGAAGACTGCTGTAATAGGTGTGGCTTATAATAATTTTTGCTATAGCTTATGAAATAATCAAATCGTAAATTTTATGCAGTGCCAGCTGGCAATTATTTAACACGTCTGCAAAGTCAGTTTTCTTTATAGTTTGCATTTTGCTCTGTGTTTTGATAACTGAAGTTAGTAAATTAAAATATCAATTAAAATACAAGATATATTTTTTAGTTATGTATCCTTTCCCAATTTTAATGTACTATGTTTTATGTAGCCGGCAACAGGACACCGCACTATGGCTCCCAGACACCACTGCATGATGGAAGCCGTACACCGGGACAGAGTGGCGCCTGGGATCCCAGCAACGCTAACACCCCATCCAGGTACATTGAGTAACTGGTGCTTCATTGTGTAAAGAACAACAGTGATGAAACAGCAGTGTAGTGTACACTGAGAATTTTGCTATAAAATGTAAAGCCAGTTGAATATCTCTTAGAGGTTCATTTTGGCATCCACCAATTTGGATACCTGTTTCCACAACTTGGGGAATTTAGATCGTTAAGTTTTCAACCCGGAAGTGTTTGAATAATTTGCAGAATGTATTTAATAATACATCCTTTATCCAGGAAAGACACAGACTTTTAGGACTTTGTCATGATAATTATGTATTGTGATGTTTGTCTATTTCCACAATTAGTATTTTGCTTTTGGCAGAACACCACAGTACCCAGAAAAAAACATGCATGTTATTGGATGACTTTCAAAATATGCACACATTTATTAGGTCTCCTGGCTTCCTACATGTTGTAGGTTGGGAGTTCACATGTATGATCATCTCCGTGTAAGCCACTTACTCCACAGGTGTGCGACACCATGCTCAGTGACTTGAAGCTGGAGAGTGTGACAGTTTTCTCTGTACGTGTTTAGGCAAGATGAGGATTTTGAGTACACATTCGATGAGCCGTCACCATCTCCACAGCCCTATGGGGGCCAGTCCACACCGCAGACGCCAGGGTACACAGATGTGCCCTCCCCTCAAGTCAACACCACCTACAACCCGCAGACGCCTGGCACACCGGCCCTGTGAGTAGTTTTACGCTGAGCACCAAAAGCCCACACGTACACTTTACATTGGCACTCCAGGGATTGGTAGCCAATTTCATTCTACATGTAAAGATAGCGATTATGCTTTGTGTACATTCGTTGTGGGGGTTATGAAATATCGGTATCTATGCCCTTAACATGTATATAGCAGGTATTTCCATCAACTGGTCCAGTCAATTTTAAATGATTAACTGCACATACTTGAGTCATTATTTCATTGCTTACATTTTACTCTTGGTAATTGAAGTGTGATGGGCAATCATATATTAAAATAATATTTTTTTGTCAACTGCAGTCAAAGCAGGTAATCGAGTGGGGCAACAGTATGTTAATCCTTTAATGATCTCTTGCAATGTTTTTTTATATAAAATTAAAAATGTTTAGAAGTCGCCTAAAAGTCAATTGATTTGATAATTTCATTATATCTTATAATTCCCATGCAGCATACAGCTCATAGCACTTGTAATGGACCAAACAAGGACCAGTAATAACATTGACGAGGGTGATATGAATGGCATCTTTTCAACCTTCCCTTTAAATGTGTGTGAAGGTACAACACGGATCAATACTCCCCGTACCCGACGCCCTCGCCACAAGGCTCGTACCATCCAACGCCGAGCCCACAGAGTTTCCATCCAGCACCCAGCCCCATGGGTTACCAGAACACGCAGTCACCCGCCAGCTTCCATCCGACTCCATCTCCCATGGCATACCAGGTGAAGATTGGGAGTGTGACAATTCACAGTCCACTTTTTTCCCGTTTGAGATGACTTGACAAGTGAAACTTATGGCGGGACCCTGGGTGTCCTGAATAAACGGAAGTCAAAAATCGTAATTAATTGATGTATTTTTGGTGACTCCGTACCAGCGCGCACACACACACCGCGACCCACCTGGCGTGGATAATTCTGTTGTCATGTCCAAGCGCAGCGAGGACGAATGCGCAGAAGAAACAAAACTTTGAAACTTTGATTAGCGCATTGTGTAAAGCTCGTCGAGAGGAATAGATCGCCTTGTCGTTCGCCTTCAGACATAAAATGACATCGCAACGCAGTTTATGCGAGAGCCGGGGGCTTATGGGACCCTGGGGTCCCGCCATAAGGTTCAAGTGTCATAAAATAACCATTTATGGTACTCTTTAGGTGTTGTAGTTGGTACAGTATTACATGTTCATAGAAATTCAATCAGTATAACATGTGTTTGCCAAAATTAAACCAGACTCGCACATTTAGTTATATGTAGCACAACCACCTCTTCCTTACCCACCCCTGTTGCTGATTGTGATGTGATCAGCACATTGGTGTTCAGCACCACCTTCCACGCTCACCCTGATTCTGCTACTCATCCTCCCACTGATCTTGCACTTCCACCTATAGACTATCACGCTCCCAATAGCCTTCTGAGAAAGTTAATCGTAATAGTTGCAGTTGCACACAGCCATTGCTTGTGTGGATTTCCTTACGATTGGGATGTCTGGCATTAGTATATCGATTTTCCACTGCAATTCAATTATCTATGTCAGTGGATAGGAGTGTTGCCAACCTGCTCGAGTTTTAACAAACATCACAATGCCTCCTGCTGCTTCACAGTCGAGCCCCAGCCCAAGCCCGCTTGGCTACAGCCCCATGACGCCGGGCGCAGGCTCGCCAGCCGGATACAACCCGCTCACGCCAGGCTCCGCCATCGACCCCAGCACGGCCGATTGGCACACCATCGATATCCTGGTGGGCGTGCGCGACAGCTCGCCCGATACCCAGCTGGTGGGGCAGAAGGGAGTCATACGCAGCATCTCGGTGGGTAACCCACTTCTCTCCCACACTCCCAACCTCCTGTTTTTTACACGCTTTGGCATCACACCTCACAAAAGGAACTATTTTTTTGCTACTGATGAGGATTGTATATTTTGAAAGTGTTTAGCATGGGATGTAAAGCTATTTTATAGTAGGTTGACCCTGCCCTATGAGTAACATTCATTAACCATTAGACTGTATTATGGTGGCCCAAACTAGTTTTATTGGGTGGTTTTTATTGTTATAATCATATACTTGACTATATTTGTTTGATATTTCAGCAATTCAGCCCTTCTTGAACATCATGAGTATTTACATCAGCCACCCATCCAGTTATGTATATTTTAGTTGGAGCGTTGCTATCTTTGTCTGGTTTGAGTGCTGACTGCATTTCATGAAGGTACAGTAAAGACAAATCAAGCATGTGTTGCGATGCAAACGCCAACACCTATTTTTGTAATTGTCTGGGTTATTTGGCAAGTGCTAGAGTGCTTGATTTAGGTAGTGTTTGTCTGAAAGCACCTCTCGGTAGTTCAGTAATTACACTTTTTTCCACTAGATATTGACACGGTGGCATTTGTGAATGTTTTATTAAATGAAGGCAAAATGTAAACATGAATCATCTAATCTGTAAGAATTGTTCTGCTCAAAATGTGCCCCAACCGGAGATGAAACCACCTTGTTCAGTAGTAACTAGAGTGCCAAGCCTAACGTTTGCAGCTGGTGCAATGTCAGGTTTTATAGCCCTCATATATATTCTTGGTTCTTTCGGTAAAGTCACGTTGAAGGGAAACAATAAAGTAATAAAATATATATAAACAATAAAATAATACAAATATATTTGTTTTATTGTTTCCCTTCAATGTGACTTTACCGAAAGAACCAAGAATATGAATCGCTGCAGTCACGAAAGCTTTAAATCAAAAGCCCTCATATAGTTGATAGTTTTATATCCTTCTGACAAGTGAGAGGCGGAGTAGGGGACCAACAAGTTAACTTCTTCATTCCATCTCAAACGGCCCCAAACAACCTTCTCCAATACTTCCGAAGGGAGTAACTGACGAGCTCTTGTTTTACTGAGATTTGTTTTATTCCTTTTTCAAGTACTTTGAGGCTTTTGTCATACTCAAAATGGTTTTTGTTTATGGCTAGCTTGCATTTGTTTACAATAGCCAACTTGTTTTTGTCTAACGGCTCAAAGGCCAGACAACACACCATTGTATAGGTTTTATAGGCTAAGATTTACCATCTGTTAATAATACAGGTTTGTTTGGTTAGATCACGTAAATATATAAATGTGGTGTTAAACCCGCCACCACCCGACACAGCCAATTAGTAAGGTTTGTCACGTAAACAGAGCATGCCAATTTGTTACTTGTACAGCACACCGGTGTGTTGGAGAGCAAAGCCACAACATTTACAATCTGAGTACAATGTTACGCCAGTAATTACAACTAGCTTCATCAGGCGACTGCCAGATTGGTGGCAAAATCCTCCTGTTCGGTTCCTAAAATAGTGGCAGAACATGCATGCCAACAAGGACACTCAATTTATTTTGAAGTTCTGTGCAAAACTAGTTCCTCCAGGCCAAGGCTAATTAGATAATCGAAATTGAGAGAGATAAAAAATAATTAACCGTTCCGATATTCACAGACTTAGTGTTGCTTGGAAGCGAATAATAAAATAATAGAATACATTTTCCATTGGAAAATAAAGAATATGAATTCCTGCATTCACGAAAGCTTTCAGTCAAAATATAATACATTGTTTAAATGCATGCCTATACTGGATGTATTTTATTCATTATGTCAGCATAACAGGCCACAACCTGCTGATGAGACTCGGTTAAATCAGTTGGTTTGAGGACATTCAGTTAAATCCTTGATGTGACAATCGCTACTGGGTTACGCCGATTATGCAGGACTGTTGTCTTGAAAATTAAACTTTCATTTATATGATTAAACCCAATTGTATTTTTATGTGAATGAGTGGTATCAGACTTTGTGACAAATGTGCAAGACAAACTTTCCTGAACGTAAAATTAATTAGTATTCACTGTTCCCCATCTCTCTGCAGGGTGGAATGTGCTCAGTTTACCTGCCTGACAGCGACAAAGTAGTGAGCATTGCCAGTGACCATCTAGAGCCAGTTATCCCTGCAAAATATGACAAGGTAAGAAAACTTGTAGTCTGCGTGAGCAATCAAGTGTGTTCAGCAATGGCTTGACATGAAAGTGTTGAGAGAATGAGCAATACAATTCAACAAAGTTGAAAATCCACAACTCCTTGTATCCACATGTTGTGCAAAAAAATCATCCTGTTATCCGTGAGTTATTTGCATTTTTTTATTCTCAGATAAGACGAATACATTTTCAAATAATCCTGCGGATAACAGATAGCAGTATCTGCAGTATTGGTCCCCCATAGCACTTGGGATAAGAAGAGTTCCATAGGTTTGTTTATTCATTGTTTTCATCTTATTTATAATTGCATTCAAATAAAAAAACACAATGTATATTGGCTCCCAAACATTCACAAACCTGCAACGACTCGCGTGGTCAAGTATGGGTCACGGTGAGGCCTTCGTCTCGAAGTACACCGACAAGGTCTGTAAGTTGGTAAAAAATGAACATTTACATATAGGATATCAAAAGTTACGTGACCAAGCACATTTTACAGCGCTGTTTGGGTTTAATTATGACAGTCGTTTTTTTAAATATATATAGAATGAATGAAACTTTTTAAATTGAGGTGTGCATAGATTATTTTTTTTCTATGTTCTCTTCTTGCAACTTCAACGACCATTTGGGTGCATTTGGTTCAGGTCAAGGTGATTCTGGGCGAAGATCGCGAAGCAACTGGGACTTTAATCAGCATCGACGGAGAGGATGGCATCGTGCGCATGGAGCTGGACAACCAGCTTAAGATCCTTAACTTGCGCTTCCTGGGCAAACTGGAGACCTAACCCAGCTGCCTCCACACCTCAGCAGGCACATCGGTTTGTGAGCATAGAAATGTGAGTGGGTCATAGCCCCACAATGTTTAGGTGGTCCCCACTCTCTCCCCAACTGTTCTGATTCTTACTTAGTGCTGCAATAACAAAGGACAGCATTTCAGAAGCACTTCCTTTCAATGCACCAGTAAATCTGATAAAGAGCATTTTTGGAAGGTATTGTCCAGCTTCTTTGGTTCTTTCTTTACCGAAAGAACCAAAGAAGATGAATCATTGCAGTCACGAAAGCTTTAAATCGAAATTTATTGTCCAGCTTATTGGACAATGCATGACCACACTTTTTTAAACTCATTGTTATGCCTGATTTTTCCTTTTTCAGATGTTATATTTTTCAGAGCCATTATAATGCAGTTTCAAAATATGCTCTTGTAATATTTTGATTTCTTACCTGGTCTTGTATTAAATTGCAAATGTATGCAATGTACGGATTATGGTGTGGACAGTCCTGATGCCACACATTCTATTCAAATAGACTGTCAACTCGTGTTCATCTAATTGCTTGGGTTGTCCAAATTCCCAACTTACGTGTTTGTATTTGTGGTTGATATGCACCACGGAATATAGCTCCACAACTTTTTTCATTTTACCCTCTTATTGTACATGAGACATAAGTATGTTCAGAGTGGGGTGAGTGGGAACATGGTTGTTATAAAGACTAAACAGTTGGCAAACTTGTTTATAAAACATAGAGCATTTTTACCAAAAGGTCATTGTTTGATACATTGGTGTTCAAAGCTTCAACATTTTTATTACAGCTTTGGTCGTGACCTTGCTTATTTAACAAGCACTGATCTTATGTTGAAGCAGAATTATTTGTTCCTTTGAATATTGCTTGCTTTCAAGTTCATTTGTGTTTGCATCAAATGATTGCAAGCCACATTAACATTTAACGTGTGAACATTTCTCTTTCTATTGCCAGTTTGATATTAAGATAGAATACTTGTCTTGATGAAAGTCTAATGGGAAACCCTGCAGTCTAAGACAACAATGATGCAATTATCAGTGGTATGTTGCATTTTAATTGTTCTCAGAAATGTTACCATACAGTTCATAATGGAGTACATCATTGTGTAAGTTAATTACATGTGGGAAGCATTGTTATAAACAAATATAAACTGAAAGCATGGTCCACTTGCATTATGGTTCATCTCCCAGAAAGTGCCTGCTGAAAAGATGCCATTTATTAGAATGTGATACATTCAATGAAAGTACGTTGCAAAATAGTGTGTCATTACCGAAAAGTACACAGCAATAGTTTACCCGGAGGTTAAAACAGTTTATGTAAATGTTGCAGTGCGACTAAAAACTAACTAAATTTCAATGTCTAGTTTAAATGATCCATTAACCATTGTAGAATTTGGTGCCATTTTATTTGAGCATAGTCTTGTATTTAGAGCTGTATTTCACATTATTTTTCTTTTGACATATAATAGTGTGCTCTGTTATTTGCTTATATTGTACCAGTGGTAGTACCCATTAACCCTACGTGTAATATTGTTAAAATACAGCATTTACGTCACAGAAGTTGCAACATTGTAAAATTCGTCCCGATACTGTTTGAAAGCAAGTACAGTAAAGTGCTTCGGCCGTCTAATATGTTGAACATGGTGAGCTGGAATGAACCTTGGAAGTCTGTTCACTTATAACTCTGGATGTATAATAAAACAATAAAACACATCTTGACAAGCGGTGTGATGTTTATCGATAGTAGTATTATTCTGTGATGCGTTCAGTTTTTCCCCGAATCGTGAAGTGCACGTACTGTGACAATCGCCCACAATGCGTTCGATCCCGTCTCACCTTAAGTTAAGGAGGGTTTGAATCTGCAAAGTGCTTGGATGAGTGACCACTAAAGCCAAAGGGAAGGTGTATGCTTTGCGTATTAGAGCAGTACAGCCAAAGCACACAGTTGTGTGTCTGCCGCCTTCAAAGTGCACCTTGCATCTGTCAAAGAATTCCGAATGAGGCGTTTATTGTGGATGTGTCTCCGTTTATTCCACTTTGTTCGCACAGCGGTAGCGTTTCTCCGGATCTGGGTTATAAATTCTCGTTTAATGGTGACAGCAGTGGAATCTCACAAGGGTTAAATTTCTATTTAAAGCTTTCGTGACTGCAAGGATTCATCTTCTTTGGTTCTTTCGGTAAAGTCACGTAGAATGAGAATAAAATAATAAATTGATAAAATAAAATAACAATAAAATTCTCACGACGTTTCGGCCACAACACAAGCGGCCTTCATCAGGTAAAGGGACGAGACTGGAGGACAGCGCTCCAGCGCTGTCCTCAAGACAGGCTGGTCCCTTCACCTGATGAAGGCCGCTTGTGTTGTGGCCTAAACGTCGTGAGAATTTTATTGTGTTTTATCAATTTATTATTTTATTCTGATTCTAGTTGACTTTACCCAAAGAACCAACGAAGACTCAGAAGGGTTGTTTTGGATGTGGTATGCAAGAGGTCGTGGGTTCGATACCCCGACCCTTGATGGCTGTTGTATATTTGGAGTTTGAATTTTCTCTCCCCGTGTTCGCGTGGATTTTTTTCTGCGGGTCCTCCGGGTTTTCCCTACACATCATCATGCGAAACTTTCACTTGATGATAAGCCACTTCGTTGAGCTATCATTTGTGGCCAGGTCGCTTCTGGAAAATCACTATTAGCTCAATGGGCTTTACCTAGTAAATAAAGGTTTGGTTTTAGTTTACTTATTTTTAGTGATTTCCTTTCCTACACTTTGCGTTCCGATCGGGTTTTATGTTTAGAATGTTTGTGGTAACTTTCTGACCCGCCTCTACTGGACATCTGTAAAAAAAAAATCTTCATATCTCATTGCACTTGTCCAGTCTAAATGAAACATTGAGGGAAACAAGAGCTTCATCGCCCTTCGGATTTCTCCAGTCTAAATAAAGATTGTGATGGCGAGGAGACAACGGCCAACGTGTCGTGTGGTGACGTCACCCCCCCACCATCTCCCCCCACAATGCCCCCCCCCCACCATCTGCCCCCCCCCCCCCCACCATCTCCCCCTCCCTACCAACTCCCCCCCCACCCTCCCCGTGGGCGGTGCCACCCCGGAACGTGTTCCGCGTGCTGCACGCAGCACTTGCCCGCCTTTGGTTCCGGGTTGCCGCTGTCAGCCGGTCCGGGCGGGCTGCGGGAAATGCAATAACGCGCGCCAGGGTTTGCGTGGTAACTTCTCGCTGGGTTTTTTTAAATTAAGTCTCTACCTCCCGTTGCTTTTTTTTGCGGATTTTATACACGTTTATTTTCGTAATGTATTTATTTTAATTTTAATCATGTAAAGAGGAAAAGTGTTTGAGCAAGCCCCGTGGGATATCGAACCGTGTTTTTAGTTTTATCATTCGACGTGGCTGCCCGTGTACAGTGGGACGAGCTTGCGGCGCATGCGGGTTTACAGTGGGCGCCCCGTGAGGCCAGTGGCTCTCTCTCTCTCTCGTGTACGCCAGCAGCAGCAACAGCAGTAGCAGCAGGGCGCCTGTCATGTACGCCAGCAACAGTAGCAGCAGGGCGCCTGTCTCTCTCTCTCGTGTACGCCAGCAGCAGCAACAGCAGTAGCAGCAGGGCGCCTGTCTCTCTCGTGTACGCCAGCAGCAGCAACAGCAGTAGCAGCAGGGCGCCTGTCATGTACGCCAGCAACAGTAGCAGCAGGGCGCCTGTCTCTCTCTCTTGTGTACGCCAGCAGCAGCAACAGCAGTAGCAGCAGGGCGCCTGTCTCTCTCGTGTACGCCAGCAGCAGCAACAGCAGTAGCAGCAGGGCGCCTGTCTCTCTCTCGTGTACGCCAGCAACAGTAGCAGCAGGGCGCCTGTCTCTCTCTCGTGTACGCCAGCAACAGCAGTAGCAGCAGGGCGCCTGTCTCTCGTGTACGCCAGCAACAGTAGCAGCAGGGCGCCTGTCTCTCTCTCGTGTACGCCAGCAACAGCAGTAGCAGCAGGGCGCCTGTCTCTCTCTCGTGTACGCCAGCAGCAGTAGCAGCAGGGCGTCTGTCGCCTTGCTGCGTGTGAGCCGTACGGGAAGGCAGCACGACACGCGACACCCCTCTGGCGGGTGAGCTGCTGCTAGGAGCGGGGAGGTGAAGCCTCAGCTCAGCGAGAGGAGTCGGTGTTGTCCCAGGGTAGGGCGAGTGTGTCGCAGGTGATGAACATTGCTGACCACAAAGGATTTACCCATGATTAGATTCAGTCCCATCCCTGGACCTTGACTCGGGTATAGTGAGCCCCACAACCACATAAAGGGCCATACAGGGGCAGTTTCAGATCTATTGGGTTGTATATTGCCATCCTTGCTCAAGCGGAGCCTACATATTCCAGGTGGGTAGTGGGTGCCAGCATATAGGTAGTGGGTCCTAGGTAGAGTTTGTTCCAGGTAGACGAGGTTCCCAGGTAGAGTTCAGTTAAAGCGGAGTAAACCGATCCGAGGTAGAGTGAGTTCCATGCAGAGTGGAGCTCGGGTCGAGTTGAGTTCCCCATCGCTGTCGGAGTGAATCTCACCCCAGGAGGAAGGGGTGGTGGTAGCTCCTACCCCCCCCGTCCCTTCAGGGCCGTGATGTTGAGGCGTCCATTCCGTCCGTGAACTCAACCACCAGAGACCCCCTTCGGGGTGGCGAGGCGGCGGCCGGCGGGAGAGATGGAGTCGAACCGCAAGGGACTTGGGGGAGGACGCGGGGGTAAGAAGAATTCTGCGGGCGCCTTGGAGCAAGACTCGTACGAGGACCGTCAGGAGAACGAGCTGGAGGTGCTCACGGCCATCTACGGCAGCGAATTAACCGACCTGAGGAAGCAAGACCCATGGAAGGTGCCGGGATAGCACAACCCACCCGCTCGTCGTGCTGCCCTTTGGGCCCACCTGTGGTTGTGTACCTGTCAAACCCACACGATTCACTCACTATTCTTGTCCGGGGAAATTGATTTTTCAGGTCCACACGGCGTGGAGCCGTTTCAATACGGGCAGCATTTGTTCTTGTGTGTCTATTTGTGTTTCTCCCTTGTGATGGGGACTTTGTAGGGTGAACGTTGAGATTTATAAGGGGCACGGGGTGACCAATAAGGTCTGAATTGTAATGAGGTAGGCACTGATAAGGGGTTGACAGCTGTGTGAGGTGTGTTTTGGGGAGGTGTGGCAGCGGTGTGTTGTTTTTCGACATGATGTCCCGACGTTTCGCTCCACGCCCCACGTGTTGGGAGCTCCTTCTGAATTGAACACGTCACTTTCAATCAAAGTACAGGATAGCGTTTGCCGGCTACTGTTGGTGGTGTTATCGGTCCCGACATCAACGCCGAGCAACGCGCGGTACAACTTGAGTACACAGAGAGCGACACGAAGCACAACCGCGAACACCCATTTAGGACACTCGTTTATAGCTTGACATAAGGCTCCATTCTGTTAAGTGGACTTAAAATTCATTTCATTGTATGATTGTGTATTTAAATAAACATTGTCCACTCCGGTGCATTGTGGTCACCCACTTTGTGGGAACTCAACGTCCCGTGACCTGTGGATTAAACTGCCCCCACAGGCCATATTTACGTGGAATTTCCACAGCTGACACAGGGTCATCAGTGGAGATGAGCGACCCCCAGAAATCATTTGCTAATGGAGAGAGACATTACATCACTGGTTTTTGGGCATGAACCATGGCCATGTTGCATGTTTGCACGATTTAACTTCTTTCGCACCGTACGTAGCTAACCGTACGACTCGGAGGTGTGGGGTCATGCTTACATTACAGGAGCACATTTTACAATATTATTTGTATTTTTCTATTCTTATATCTCGTTTGTACATTGTATTCACTCATAGATTGAATGCACCATTTGCATACCGTTGCGCATCATTACCACAAAACGTAAATAAAATAAACTATAAATCACAGCACATGAAACCAGTATTGGTCTTTATATATAAAAAAAACTATTCTGTAATGGAAAACTAGGTTTCACAACTTAATAAAATGCGTTTTACTTTAAATCAGCCGAGTCAAGCGAGGGAATGTGCCCAAGAGGACATCTACCGCAAACGTAGAGAAATGAAATTGGCTTGTGTGCAGGCTGGGTGAATTATCGCAGGACTGTGAAAGATAGCGATGGCTCGGGAAGCCCTTCATCCAGCATGGGATTGATCATCGCCGATGAGAATGATAAAGCTGAGTTATTTTCTCAACTTATTGGAAACCCGGTGAAAGTCAAATCTCGGTGTCTCCCCGTGTGTTGGTGGTGGCCGTAGCAATCAACACGTTGAGTTTTTGTTGCAGGTGCGCCGCCCGCCACAGGTGTGCATCTCCCTGGCACCCCACGATAGCACTGGAAGTGCGTGCTACGTGACGGTGGATCTCACAGTCAGCTGCCCTCCACGCTATCCGGACGAGTGAGCACCAACGCTGCACTTCACTTAGGACGCAGCCCACAACACTCCCGCTTAAAGCTATTCAGTAAAACCATGTTCACACTGATAAGCTCAGGGTGGTTACCATTACGCATTGAAGGTTGCTAGAGCAACCTCCTTCAGGTATTTATTTAAAAAGTGAACTGGCAGCCGTTCAGGGTTGGGGTTCCACAAAAGAAGGCTTCGCTATGAACTCCGAAGCAACGGTCACACACAACTGGATCCAACACATGACGCTTATATTTAGTTAAGCTCCGTTGCCGTGGTGTGAACATGTTTCATGTCACAAAAGACACTTGACATTTACTTATCCTAATAATCATATTTTATACTTTCAAAGCACCTTTCACCCAGAGCCCACAAAGTGAATAATTGATATATAAAAGATAAAAGCATGCAGGGTGTTTATAATAAAAAGTGTGAGCGCACACCTAAGTGGTAATTACTTTGTGTGGTGCACATGAAGTGATCTGGCGTGAACCTGACATGAGCTGTTGTACATTTTACTTTTCTTGTAGGCTCCCAGAAATTGAGCTGAACAATGCCAAAGGCCTGTCCAATGAGAGTGTGAAAGAGCTGCAAGCCCAGCTGACAACCCTGGTATCTGAACTGCGTGGAGAGGTAAAAACCTGCGCATTTCACAAGTGCATGTGTGTTCGGAGGGTCGGCTCACATATGTTTGTGTGGCAGCAGAATGCAACACTGCAATTTTAATTTATAAAGCATCCAAATATGACTGTTTTGTTTGATTACGGGATAACGATAAATATGATGCATTTAAATAGTTTGCTTAATTTATGTTTGGAAGTCTGGATCTGGTAGAAATAGTTCCAATATGTAGTCAGCACCGTTCAATAATGCTAGTATCATATATTTTGCTGCCATTAGTCAAGGCTTCGTGACACACTACAGTACTTGAAAGCTTTAACGAGACAGATTAAGATATATTTGGTTCACCCGCTGTCAATTGGTAAAAAGGTGTTGCCTTGCGGTTGCAAAGTGAAGGTTGCCCTTTGGTCATATTGTCGCAACCTCTGTGTTCGTGTGCTTATGGCTTCACAGGTGATGATCTTCCAGCTGGCCCACCACGTAAAGAACTTCTTGATTGACCTCAACGTGCCACCTCCGTGTTCTTTCTACGAGGAAATGCTGCGTAATCAAGCATTGCAGCAACAAAGGCTGGCTCAGGAGCAAGAGACGGCGTTCCGTGAAAAGCTGCAACAGGAGGAGAGCGAGGTCAGTGCTGCCCATGCCACAGCCACAATAGCGATGCAGTGCCATTGACATTATCGTCAGTCGTGATTTACTGCTGGATGGAGGCCTCCCCAAGTCGTTTACGTCTCTCACAGTTACGTAATGTAAGGATCCGTTTAGCACTTCCATGAGGCTTAGGCCATCTTAATGAGATAATAAACTTCAAAGTTTTTGTCAGGGGCATTATGATGGTGCTTAACTGTTGTCACCAACATGGCACTCGTGTACACTTCAATGAAACGTTAATGCAGTGGCTTCACTGGAGCACCATAATGGAAAACCTGACTAACGCGACAGTGTTTACTTATTAAGGCATCTTCAGCCAAGGTATGTATCTACAAGTACAAAGGATATTTTTTTATTGAGTTATGGTTGCATTGAAATAAACTTCTGACATGTTTGTTTTAGAGTATTTCTTATCCATGATGGACTTTTATATCAACATGATGCTGAAATTATATATAAACGTTAGTAGTTTTGTGCGTGTGTCACAGTAACAGTCTTTCCGGCCTGTTGATTGGCCAAAACAAATAAAAAATCGGGGAAGTTTTCTAAAATAAGTATTTTTAGATTTGAAACATTTGAAAATTTAATTAGAATTTATCAAAATAATTTATCCGCAATTTCTGTAGCGAAAACCTACGTAGAGAAACCATTATCAACCACATCCCATTATTTCACAATTTTACGAATAAAACTTAACCCTATTCAGTTTATTTAAATTGGAATTTGTTAATAATTGTACAATAATAGTTGCAGTGATTTTATGATGCCGTGTCTTGCTTTGTTTATTATGTTATAAAGTATAAGTACCATGCAAAAGTGTTGGTATCCCCCCCCCCCTCGGTGAGTGGTACATTCCCAACAGCAATGTGGATCGAAGCTGATGGCGGTAACGCGATTTAATCTTACTGGAGACGTTAATTTGGCATGACTGGACTGACGTACATCAGAATCAGAATATTTATACTGCAGGAGGAATCTGATCAGCTATAAAGCTCTTTTTCACTGATGTCCAGTAGGGGTACGGGGTCAGAACGTTACAACAACAAACAGTACAAAGACTTGAGAGTCGTGCAAGTTCAAGGAACGTAAACAAATCACCCAAACACATCTACATTATTTATAAAAGTTAGTAGTTCCGTGCGAGTGTTTACATTCGGGGATTGCCAGAGAGCGCCTGTTTCTGTACCGTGTTGTGGCAAAGGGTGTATGATGAGTTTACACAATGTTGATACATCGCTGCTTTTGCAGCACAACATTAATGGTTGACACCTTATCAATGTCTCTTTTATTTTACTGTGTACGATTTATTACCTATGCAACTTTTCTTTGTATACAGCGCAGATATAGCAAACAGTGAGGGTATGCATACCTGTCAACCCATTATCATTACAGACCAATTCTCAACGTTCATCGTACATAGTGCCATTACAATGTTTTTACTCAATTGCCCTGTGTAAGAATACGGGTAAACCGTATGGGTTGATGGGTATGGGTATGTAACAACATTACAGATCACACTATACAGCACACTATGTACCGTATACAACTCAGATGGAGTACATGGTGAGGGTATGTAACAACATTGCACACACGTGTACTATATCTGAGCTGTATACAGTAGATAATAGTATGATGTGTAATGTTATGAACAACCTCATAACTTTGGTCAGGGTAATGGAACCCCTCAGCTATTAATTTTACCCATGTCAGTCGCCATTGTGTTTGTTGTATGTATTGGTGAGTTAATTTGAGCTTTGGGTGATTGGAGCTTTTTGTTTAAAGTGATTAGCAAAGTGAGAACCCTGGTGCTCATTGAAAGTGGGAATATAAATAAATAGATATTTAGCTTATTTAAATCATCGCACCTATATAACAATAACTGAGAATGGTTTAGGTCACCAGCTACAAACTGAAGTGACAATTGCTGTAAGATTCTGATTGAAAAATGTTAATCCATTGTGTAGATATTGAACATGTGGGTTGGGAGTGGGGATGGCAACAGTGGTTTGTTTTCCTAAGTCATTTAACCTTGCATTGTGGTTAACACAAATAACACATTGCTATTTATCTGTTTAACTAAAAACTATGGAACTCAACCATTTTTATTTTACAAGGTCAGACCCAATGAGCTATATAGCTCTTTTTTACAAGTGACCTGTCCACAAATGATAGTTCAACGAAGTGGCTGATCATGTGGAAATGTATAGCAGCCAAATACTCTTAAACGCATGTTTCTAAACGTGGAGGACCTGGAGAAAAATCTATGCGTCCAATGCGGAGAGCATACAACCTCCAAATATACAGGTGTCAGGATCGGAATCTAACTTGCGACCTTTTGTATACCAGGTAGTTAACATGTCGCCACTGTGGCGGCCAGGCTGTATTGTTGACATGCCTGCCCATCCTGGGATGTGTCTCTAATGCCAGATACCTGTTGTCAGTGCCATGTTCCCATAGCTATATAATAAGAGTGTAACAGTTTGCGCCTTGGCGATTCGATGTGTCATCACAGTTCAGGGTCTCTTATTTTCTTCGACTGTGGTGAATGTAGCAGCCTCTATTGATAAGTCAATTAACTCCATTATTTACAAGGTATAAAAATGGTTTAATAATGCTTCATAGCCCTTTGTCAGCGAAGTGCCGGACAAAGGCCTCTTGTGTGACTATATTTGACCACTCTTTTCAATGCGGTTTGTTGAAGGTAGGGGCAGGCTGCGCCCAGCACCGGTTCAGATTACTCGCCACTGATGTCAGCCGTGGCTGGGAATAAAGCTCAGGTTGCTGGGTTCATAGCACAGTACACAAATCACTGCACCACTATCCCATCCCCCCATATGAAGTGTGTGAATTGAAATAATGGATTCTTGGAATAGTTTTGAATTGATGAATCAATGCTTCATTACACCTCTGTTGAATACCCATTGTTGTTGGTGTGTGTTTGATCGTATGTTGTAATCTTGTGTTTTTAACCAGAAACGTGCAATTGATCATGAACTTATGCGACGAGAGGAAGAGAAGCGAGAGGAGCGGAAGAGGAAGGAATTGGCTAAGCAGGTGATTGCAGTATTTAAAAAAAAAATGTATTTCCTGTTTATTAACAGTCTACGGTAGTTACTGGGTTTCATTTGGAAGGAATCTAATTGTTGATTCGATGCAAATGGCCTGTCCAGTGAGCAAAATGAAGATGTATTTTGTAATATTTTAAAATATTGGTATTCGGTCCTGAAAACCTGTTCTAACAGTGGATAGCATGAATGTTCACAAATTTTCCGGCAATGTATGTGGTTTTTTCATGGTCCGTGGCGACAGTTTATTTGGAATTGTGGGTTGTGAAAAACGATGGGCAGGCATGTGCATGTCTGTAAAGAATGTAGCGGTTAACGTGTGTGAATTAAACAAGATGCAAAGCTGTGGGTGGAAAGGGCAGTGATGCGAGTGACTGCTTTACTGCTGCAAACACATTATCTGTGTGTGTGTCCACTGTAGGTAGAGCCACAGGGGAGATATTTGTAATGTGGGAAAAGTTTTCAAGTCAAATAATTTTCTAATAAACTTGAGACAGGGCTGTCCAGTGTAACAAATCGATTGATTTAACCTATTACTGTATGTTAAGTTTCGTTTTTAATGTAATTTTGTTATATTTCCACGCAAATCTTTTGTATAAAAATAAAGATTAGTTTTACTGTCATGTGACAATCTCATAGCAAAGGCTTATGGAAAAGTGCACCCACTAAATGTATTAAGGATAGAAGTACCACTTGAAGGATGTTTCAGGATTCCTTTGATAAAGATATTTCTAAGACCTTTTTCTGACACGTGGCACCCTGTGAGATTTACGGATGAATGATTCATCTTGTTACATGATGCTAATAGCACAGTGGAATAACTTGTGGGAAAAAGACATAAAAGAGGTGCACTGCTCTTTAGTTGCCATCACAAACCCAAGCAGGATGGGAGGTTGTTGACATGCTTGATGCAACCTGCATGATCCACCAACCCTCTTCAAGGCACGAGATTATATTTACATGCCACCATCGTCATTATCGGCTGTAACCAACTCCTAAACTAAAACTCTTTTTATTTTACCAGGTAAGGCCCACTGAACTATATAGCTCCTTTTCAAATGCGACCTGGCCACAAATGATATCTCAACGAAGTGGCTTATCACGCGGAAAAATCGGAGGACCTGAATAAAAATCCACGCTACTATCGGGAGAACATGCAAACTCCAAATATGCAGGCGTCAGGGTCGGGGACCGAACCCATGACCACCTGGACACAGGCGAGGGAGTTAACACTCGCCACCATGGCACAGCAACCCACTGCCAAATGAGGCCTCCCCAAGCTTTCTCTCGATCCTGCCACCATGCCTCGTCAAATGTATGGAGGTGCATGTATGATTATTCATATTATGTTCCTGGCTGTGCATCACTCAGCAGCAGATGCGCGAGGAAATGGCGGGCAGCCCCACGAATGACGGTGGCGTGAGCAGCCAGCCATCACGGAAACCAACCAATGGGTCTGGGGATTGGAACGAGGGCGAGGGCACAAGTCGCGCGCGGAGCCGCTCTGCGAGCCGCTCCAGGTGCAGGCTCGCAATACGCGCACATGCGCTCACGAGCCGCGCTGCTGACCCCTGCTCTACACTTTCGACGAGGGAAGCCGCAGAAGACACAGTTTACTCTGCTGTGTGTGTGTGTGTGCGCCTGAGGTTTTTAGGTTCATTATTATCTAGTGGTAGCATATTCAGGCAAATTGTGAAAAGCTATCAAAAAGTGAAAAGACTTTGTTTGGCGATGGGGGTAGAAGGCCTATGTACTATATAGGAGTAAGCTGTTTGGGATGGAAAATACTAGCCAGCGATGCCTTAACTTAGCCCTTACCACACTAACCAGACTAGCCCAAACCCTAGTTGTATTCACACTTGCCAACCAGATACTGGCCTTACTCTAGCTCTAACTGCTTGCTATCCTGACGTGATTCCTTGCCCTCGCTTAAGTCGCACTAGCCAACCATGTCCTATCCCCGAGCCCGAATCAGACTCTCCATCTAGCTCCTGGCACTAACCCTAAAACACAAGTCTCCCTCGTTCTAACAAAAGTAGTCATGAGCACCTGGTAGCAGCCATTCCACGAATACTAACCATAACCCCCTTTTTCACTGTTTGCTTTACACTTTTGAATGTCTCACTGCTGTGACCCAATTGATGCTGTAGTGTTTTTCTTTGTCCGGCAGCAAGAGGGAGCGTCTCACATCCATGTGCAGCAGTGACAACTGCAGCCCAGGGGCGGAGGTGCTCAAGTTCCACACGCAAGGGGAGCGCTCCGTGTACCGTGGAAAGTGCATCGGTACGTGGTGTGTTCTCTATGTGTCTTTGCTTCCGATTTTCGTTGGATGAGGTGTAAGGTGAGTTCTGCACTTCGTGCATTTATCTGCCAGTGGCTGCACCCAGCTGATTATTCACAGAGTTCAGGTTAAGTCATATTTTCACGTAGATACCTGGTCTGATAAATCAGGCTTAGTCGGGCAGTCTTGATCAACTGGGTTAATATTTAAGTTAGCAGACAAAAGTCCGTTTCTCCACATAGATTATAAAATATATTTTTATCAGTCCATAAGCCTTCTGTAACAACAGCATTATTTTAAGCAGACAAACTCAGGATTGGTTTCAATCATCTTGGTCAAATCATCAGTCAATTTTGTTGAACAAATGTTGCTATAAATACCAGCTGTTATTGGCAAGAACACTCCACTTTAGCTATGGGGCCCATTCTGTGTGACATTGTTAAAATAATATGTCATAATGTGCTGTTTTTGAAGGTTATTGGTATAAAGCCTAGATTAGCCAAACAATGCAATTTAGCTAAGCTAAGCTAAATCAAACAGTGAAGCCAATCCAGAGAAAATCCACTCCATGTCGCAGAAAGATTTTTTATTGTAAGCCATGTTACGATGTTAGTTGTAATTTTAACTTTTAAAAGTACATTTTGGAAAAATATAGGTCATGTTTCTCAAACATTCATTTTTACCTGAGTTTGACCAACGCCTGAAATAGTATTGATTGTAATGATGCATCGATTCATTCATTGAAGTGTCACTTTATGCTCAAGATAATGCGTAAAATTGTGCATGCTTGTTTATTTATGGTAAATGTTTGCATAAAATTGGTCAAAGTAACCCTTGTGGCCAGTCGAGATGGTATATTCTTTATCATTATCAGCAGGCATGATCTAGCCACTTGTAGATTATGACCTCCCCAAGCTGTCACCAGCTTTCTTGGCCTCACAATGCAAAAATCCGTCTGTTCTGCACACAAGCCAATTTCATTGCTCCATCGCTGGTAGTGGAGGGCATATTCCCTCCATTGGACAATCACTGCATAACACGCTTTGAGATGCGCTTCTGCGGCCTTCTTTAATGCTCTTTATTAGGAAGCCATTGGAGCTATGCACTTTTGAAGCTAAGTAAAAAACTAAATTCTTGCTTTTTGTGTTTTGTTTGTTGTCCGTCCTCCGCGCTTCCGATTAGCACAGCTTGCTATGTACAGTGCAAAGAAGTTCAACATATATACGATGGAAATACGTATTTTGGATAATAGTTAAAACAAATAATCTTCAATTAAACTGTGATTGTAGCATGAACATTCATCGAATCGCAAGGGCAGGAGATAAATCGTTACGCGCCTCTAAATAAGCCGATGATGCAGCGAACGTTGTGAAACAATGAGGCTGGCCCTTGGTAATATGACGGTTCTGTTGCTCTGCAGGTGAGAGCACTCACTTGCGCCGCCAAGTATTCAACGCGCTGGACAACAGCACGGGCGAGCTGGTGGTCGTGTACGAGTGGGTGCTGCGCTGGCCGGTAGGACACCCCGACCTCCGCACCAGCGAAGACAAGGAGCACATGGAGAAATGCCGCAAGCAGGTTCGGGGACCGATGGAAGCTCGTTAGCCTGGGGGAATTAGCGGATATATATCTGTGAAAACAAGTGGATGACGTGGGTCTTTATTAATGTGCCTTGCAATAACGTTTGAGGCTCTGTGCATATAAGCCTCATCCCCCTGAACCTCCCACTATGTCGTGGTTGGCACACTGCACTCCAAAGCCAGCTCACTGTTTGATCTCCTGACAACGCTAACATCAGTGTTTAGTGATATCTTAACCAGTCCTAGACCACCCCTCCTTGGTCATACCAGCCTTAAACTAGTTCCGGATGTCGATGTATAAACATCAGTTACTGGGGAGACAAAGGCAGCCTGGGCATGGTGCTGGCCACACGATCTTCTTATATGCCCTAGCTGCATTTAGAGGGGCTCGCAAACACTACTTGCCACAACGATATATGTAGGCTACACAGGGGATCTTGGCCGTTGTGCTGATGTGTGTATGTATGTATGTATGCCTGCTTGTCCACGAGGTGCATGGAGCCAGTGCAGAGTTACAGTCGCTGTTGAAACTGCGGCACGAGGCGTTGGTGCCTTACCTTGGCATGGAGAGCCAGGAGACGGAGACGGCCCTCACCGTGCACCTGCTGGCCGAGCACGTCTCCGGCACGAGCCTGGCCGGCCACCTTGCCCGGTTAGACAACGGCGGTATCCCCCCGACACTGAACTATAACCACTGGCATCCATTCACTCAATTTGGTTATTGTTGAAGATGTCATCCCATGGTGCTGGGGATGCTACATCACTGATAATCCTTGGTTCAATTCTCGGCAACCTCCTCTGACTAAACCGGGTTTTTAAGTGGAGCGAGTCGACACTCTTTTGTGCTTTCATATTGAGAACCAAGAGTAGGACAAGGATGAGCCTCCGTGTACACGGTAGTAATTTGGTTTACTTGGCCGAGATAGCGAGGTGGCACGATAGTCAACCATGTACGTGTGCTTTTCTTTGTCAGTCAACTACTGTGTAATGACCTCCCCCACACCCTGCAGGATGTGGTGATTATTTAACTATACTTCACCATTCTGGTCAGTCTTGATTGGTATAGACGGGGAGTTTAGAACTGGAACATAGAACAATACAATAATGGGTGTTGCTGCACTTTATTCTGCTACGCGCCACGTAGTCCCGCAGAAACATACGACACCTGTTTTATTCATGGTGGGTGCCCATGAAAGCATCCAGGTTCAACTTTGCTTACCTTCCAAGAACTGATGCAGCCGGATGTATTCTGGGTGATTTGGTAACAAGCTAAAGGCCAATGAGATTTAGGCTGAAACCAATCACGTTTGTTTAAATTCTCCTGCGGCAGCACTGGCCCCTTGCCGGTGGAGACGGTACGCCAGTACGCTTCCCAGCTGCTGCACGTGCTCGACTATCTGCACGCCAGCTCGGTGGTGCACCGTGACTTGCGTCTGTCGAGCGTGCTGCTGGACTGCGCGACTGGCCTGCTCCGCGTCGCCGACTACAGCCTGGCGCGCCGGCTCGCTGACGCGTGCGTGGCAAGCGAGCAGCCCGGTCGGCCCGGCGTGCCGCGGGTCCACTTCGTGGAGCCCGAGTGCGGTCCTGGGGCCGGTGCTGCGGCAGCCCGCTCGCAGCCGCCGAAGACCGGGAAGAAGGGCGACGTGTGGCGGCTCGGCGTGCTGCTGGAGCAGCTCGCGGTGGGACGGGAGAGCAGCAACGATGACACACCGCCTGCTGATCTCCCCATTGACTTGCGGGAGTTCCTTAGCCGGTGCGTTGCCCGCGTTCGTCCATCGGAAGTTGGCTCCAGGTTTGGAGGCCGCCGAACATTGCGTGCCAACACTTCCTCTCGGTGCAGGCATTCAGGATGTCATCCCATCACCGTATCGGGCTTTGTCTTTCTTTCTGTTGCTATTCTTGCCCAAGGAGGAGGAGGCCTGGTGGTAGGGCTTTCAGTGAGCCTTGCATAATGTGCACAATATGCCACCTTTCTCTGTTTAACTAATTGGTTCGTTTATTAACCTAACTACTTTTGTAATTGCATAGTTCAAGTTTAATGGAGGATAATTTACGTAGAGGGGCCTTGGTTTTAAGAAAGACGCCTTTCAAAAAATAAAAGATTTGGGCATGGGGTGCGGCGGGCACCGCTGATATTTTTTACATAATTTTTTACGTAAAAAAATAAATAAAAATTCCCCTGCCATTCGATGAACGTTGAAGCGAGTTATTTTGATGTTTATTGTCATACAGGTGCTTGTGCATGGACGACAAGGAAAGGTGGAGCACCCAGCAGCTGCTGGAGCATCCGTTCATCAAGACGCCTGTCTCATGCTCGCCATCCACGAGGCCGCGCAGTCCCGATGGTATGTATGTATGTACGTTGAACTTCTTTCGCACCGTACGTAGCCAACCGTGCTAAGCGGAGGTGCGGGGGAAGGATAGCAAAGACGGTGATGGCATCATCCACGCACTCACGCATGCCCCAGAACTGTGTTCAGCGTTTCAGTCAATGAGAATTGTTTAGCTATCACAGTGAATATACAGCCTTTGGACAAATTGTTATGGTGTTGTCAGAGGTTGGTCCTGTTTGCTAATTTCAGGCACAATTGTCAGAAAACTTTCACGCCCTTACAGAATTGTATGCGGTGTTCAGCTGCGTGATTGCATAGCAGCCTGATTACATTAGTGGCAAAGATCACCCTCGTTTAATAACGAATTTAACTTGGGTAACATGCAGCAATGGGGAAGTGACTTTTGACAAACATGCTGATCAGAATCCAGCCAGGCTGCACTTTGGCGAGAATGTCAGACTCGCAGTCGGAAGGGCGTGCTTTCTAGCCAGATCGATTCAGCAACAACAACAACACAGAACAGCCGGAAAAAAGACTCGAGGGGAAAACTGATTTTCTATGTCTCGTACAACAAACGTCTGGCCCGTGGAGCAAAGTTGTTTATGTTTTGTTCTGCGCGTGTTCACGCGGCCGCAGATGACGTGAACTATGCGGAGGCCCTCATCCCGTCTCGTGATATCCTGGGCATGTGCTCCCACCTCGACTCGCAGCGCCAGCTCTCCCGTTACTACACCGAGTTCGAGGAGCTCGCCCTCCTCGGCAAGGGCGCCTTTGGGGCTGTCATCAAGGCATGCAAGAATTAATTAATTTATTACAAAACTTTAGCCTGTGATCAAATTACGCTGAATGCGTTTGGTCTTATCGGATCCCGGATGCCAAGCAGGGCTGAGCTTCGTTGGCACTTGGATGGGAGCGTGTCTGAGAAATACCAGGTGTTGTATTCTTGTATTTATGTGTGTGAAGCTTTGAGTGTTACCGCTTTGCATGAGTGGGATTTCTTCAGGTGCTTTGATTTCCTTATCACGTAAAGCCAAACGTTAATGGTCGTGCTGTATAGTTATCATTACCATAGCGGTTTACTCTCTGTGCAGGTGAAGAACAAGCTGGACGGCTGCTACTATGCCCTCAAGCGCATCGCCGTGAACCCCACCAGCCGGCAGTTCCGCCGCATCAAGGGCGAGGTGACCCTGCTTTCCCGCCTCAACCACGAGAACATCGTCCGCTACTACAACGCCTGGATCGAGCGCTACGAGCTCTCGCCGTCAGAGTGCGCGGGGCTGAACAGCGGCACCGTCACCACCGCCAGCAGCAGCAGCAGCAGCGACAACAACAACCATAACCCCGATGCAGCGGGGAAAGCGGAGGCTGCCAAAGAGACTCCCGACGTGGCTAACGTGCGGGGCCGAGGGCCGGCGATGCATCTGAGCCGCCTGTCGGGCATCGCGGGCCTGGACGACGTGGAGGCGAACGCGCCCCCTCCCGTGACGGCGTCGACGCGGACGGTGGCGTCGGGCTCGGTGGAGTGGAGCATGTCGTACGAGCACTCGGTGAGCGCGCGCTGCGGCCCCTCCACGACCGGAGGCAGCCCCAGCGACTCGAGCGACGAGGACGACGAGGACGACGTCGTCTTCGGCCGGTCCTTTGTGTGAGTGCTTGATAGGCGGTTGGAGGTGGTGGGGGGGGGGGGATTCCTTGGCCGGAGCGGATGTTTTTATTCCCCGATTGCCGTTGAGCAGCTGTTTTATAATTGGCCAGGGAATTATGGCTGAAGCTTTCGGCTTCGCGGAGTGTTCTGTTATTATCCGGTTGGAGCTTTGATCACGGTTGAAGTATATCAAAAGAAGGGGAAATAACCCCTCTCCTTCTTGTTCTGCCATTGGTGTTTTGTACCCGCCTCATGTTGAGTTGAAATTAAAACAAGGAAGAATAATCACGGATACCGTAACACTTTCCAATACACGTTTGTTCCAGGAAGTATTTACGTTGGACTCGATTATCCACGCGAATGACAGGGAGGATGGCCGGGTGGATAATTCAAAATTGTGGATAATTCCAAAGTACACTTTTTCTGCAGATGTCTATGTCAAAAACCACGAATATCGGTATAAATTATGTTTACGTTTCTCTGCCATCGCACAGTTTTATAAATTAAAACTCACAAAATAAATGATAATATAATCACTCAAAATGAAGCACAACTAACGATTTTGATTGTTACTCTTTCGATTTATAACAAATAGTAATAACTTTCCTGCTCCCGCGTAGAAGACTCGGCCCACTAAGTGGATGGCAGAGCCACGCCAATCAACATCAATTAAACTCCGCGCACTGTTGTAAAGATATGTAACTACTCTACTGTACTGTAGAGGCGATCACGGGGATTTCGGGTTCACAGGAGCACATATTTGTTCGGTTTAAGCACGTGACCTGTTGTAAACATTTCCAAGAATAACAATGTATAACCGTTTTTAGATTATTCATTTGGGCTTTAAGGGAACATCCGTGAGTTAATATACGTCAAAATCTCAGGTGCGTGGTTAATCCGCAAATCGGATAAACCACACGCGGATTATCGAGATATTAACGATACCTTCTTAGGCGCCCAATGAGATGATGCCGCATGGCGCATGACGTGATGCCGCAAGATAACATCACGCGCAATGAATGAATGAATGGGAGGTGAGGCACATGTAACATATGCCATCGCCTTGGCCGAAGAAGCTTATTGATTTTGCGCTAAATTGATTTATCGCAAAGTATTGGCAACCCTTTGACACAATTTAACTATTTGCAACTAAATTGTATGCCAACATTTTATATTTATTGGAACTTCTTTATGAGAGTTATGACCTCATGTTACGGGTAGATGGACACAGAAGAGCAGATGGAGAGAGCAAAATCATTAATGCTATGAACCTTTGAAAAGCAATTTTTTTTTTATATCCATGTATAATTATATTTTAATGGTTGTGTGGTTTCCTGTGACTATGCCACCACTGATATTAGCTTTCTAAGTTTCATACATTACCATTAAGTCTTACAATCCTAAGCCGGCCTCTGCCTTGCTCTGTGAGCCTTTAGGGCATTAACAATATATGTGTATGAAGGTAGCTTAATCTGATTCGCTATAGACTATTGCATCAGTTGATGTGTGTTTATGGATACGAGCAGTGACAATGACTACTCATGATGTAACGACCATATCCTGTGACGTCACAGCCACCCAGCTGCAGTTGTATTTCTGTCAAAAGACGCAACGTGGCAGAGCGTTGGAGGGAATAACCACATACAGTGAATGTATTAGCTAAAGTACAGAACCACTCCATAGCTGAAAGCGGCAGAAGGCCTTGAACTGTTGAAGGAAACGATCATGAAAGATGCATTGAGTCTGCTGGCTTTCATGGAAGTCCTGCACTGGGATGTTTGGCCGATTCCATGCTGGGCAGTGTTAGGGATGATGCTCAAAGATGCACGCGATTTTGTACACAAATCCATTGACTGTGCCCTCATTTACTGTCCAACATGCAACCCGTGGGTTTAATAGTTTCATAACTCTTCTGTGCTCCCCAACAATTACCCCCAAAGCGATTGGTCACTGAATTACTTCAGGGCTCTATAAACGTGCATTATTTGAAATTTTTACAATTTGTTGTTTGATTCGAAAACTCCACCAGCTTAAAGTTGGCACCTAAAAGAAAATAAACACCCCAGTTGAGGGTTCATTAAAATATTAACGTATTGACACAATTTCTGCGAAAGCGAGACTTTCGTTTGCTTCCTGGTCTCGTTTAATAACTGTTCACGAGTTCAACTATGCCAGCCGGCACAACTACTCTTAGTGCTCTTCCGTTAACAAAACACCTTTTTGTTGGCGAAGCAGTATTTTTGGCCACCCACTTACATCACAGTTGTTTTGTTTGCCCAAGTGATGTGATCTTTGTTTTGGGTGCGTGATGGGCGTTGTGCTGTTCGTTGTTGCTGCAGACCTTCGGGCAGTGATTCTGACTGCGACGTCGTGTTTGAGAACTCGGGTGAAAAAAACCAGGTGAGAGTGATGCTTAAGCTCGGCATTGAACACAAATCGACTGGCAGATGTTCTTACTCTTTATTTTTTTATTTGACAGATACATTGCCCTGCCACCTTTGTCTCCCCAGGAATTTCTTTCACACATTTTCCTCTCCTCGTCAGAGAGCAGTGGGGTATGTTGTGATTACTGTGGACAAAAGAAAAGAGCACTTTAATAATGTATTCTCAAGTTGTGCGTGTGCGTGCGTTTATGGAATGATTACGAAGACATATTTTGGCCTTTGCTTTCAGGTGTTTATGCATAGATCTTTTGTCCATAACATCAATTAAATAACATACGAACGGAGTAATACTGATAACATTTACGACAGAGCCCTAAGCCGGTTATTGCTGCGTCTGGTGCAATTCAAGTTGTAAACTGCGCTTGGTGTTTGAAACGGGTAATTCCTCTCTCCAATAACCCTTGACCAGGCTGACTATTCACTCATCATCATCCTATGCAATTAACCGTAGTGTGTTCCGTCTCATTCTATAACACCTGTGCTCTTCACAGTTATTTACAGTTTTGTGTGCTAGCGCTTGCACTATCCTGTAGAGTGAGGTGCATGCAGCGCACTGAGCGTGTGGTTTGAATTTTGTTGGATTAAAAAAATAACAGTTTGCACACACGTGCAGTGTTCTTTTTAATTATTCTGAAAAGCGCGCACGCTCACGTGGGCGCTCTTAACAATGATGGGTGTTGGGCGCCGTCAAATAACCCAAGGAAAATGTGACTTGAAATAAAGCCATCGAGCTATGCAATTACGTGCGTTTGAGCGAGATTGACGATCCTTTACACTTACATTCATTTTGTTCCCAGGAGTCTCATGACAGCTCACTGTCTGATAAAGAGTTGAGCAAAAACCGAGCGCCGGTCTGCCAGCCCACACCAACAGTGGTCCACCATCTCTTCATACAGGTTTGTGGGCTGTTTCATTCAATCTCTGTTGATACGCACCCCCGCTCCGCTCCTCTTCAATTCGCCACGTTATATATTCTTAGCTTTGTAGCGTTAATGTTAAAATAATTCCCAATGCTTTCATTCGTGACCGACATGTGTACATCACAATGCTGGGATTTTAAGAGAACGTTGATATATTTCACAGATGGTAAAGGAGGTCTCATAATGTAAATGCTCACCCCGAGCCCTCAATACTCTGATAGTGCGCTGTTTTTGAGTTGTACGCCTTTTGGCGTCTTCTGGTCCAACACCAATGGTGACTAGGCTCTAAGAAAAGCCGTCTCGGGTGTGGACCAATCAAATTCAAGGACAGTGCATATTATTATCAAGTTGTCTTTTTTGTTTGCATTTTGACTGCTTGTGTTGTGGTTATTGCAAACATGATGCCTTGAATAAAGGTGTCAGTTTTTGTGCCAGTTAAAAGGGTAAAACCCATTCCTATAGATGGTGAAGTATTATTATTTTTTTCATTTAAACCTCATTTGCAAGTGTAACCGGAATAAAGATGACACTCATGGGCAATGCACATATCACAGATTGTTACGTGCAGAAATGACACTTTTGACATGAAGGCATGAACAAAACTTCCTTGTTGATTGATTTACTTTCTTAACTGCCTAATTTAGACCACCCACATGAATGAAGATGACAATCCGGAAGATTAGTGTATTTGACGTTTTAGTCGCTGCTTTGAAATGCCGTGTCGTGAGTGTTGTCTTGAATCTGTGCAAGGTGTCATCGCGAAGTAACGTTGAGTACGTTGTGTGCCCCTGTCGGCAGATGGAATACTGCGAGAGGAGCACTCTACGCGACACCATAGACAAGGGCCTGCACATGGAGACGGATCGCATGTGGCGCCTTTTCCGTGAAATCCTGGATGGCCTGGCTTACATTCATGAGCAGGTGCTGGCAACTACTGATAGCCTTCGATATGACCATTCTCAATGTCGTCGTCATCATCGTCATCGCGATGATGATTCTCACTATTGCCTCCACGGTGACCATTACCATCAATAAAATCATGATCGTCATAACGTTGTCATAATCACTCACCAGCATCATCGTTGTCACCGTCATGACCATCTTTTAAATCGCAATTACCACTGCCATGGATATGTAAAATAAAAAAATATTTCTATATTGATGAACATCACTTGTTGCCATGAGTCTGTAAAATTAAATGGGGGGGAGGGGCATTTTTGTCTTTGCAGGGCATGATCCACAGAGACCTCAAGCCAGTAAATATCTTCCTGGATTCTTCAGACAGCGTGAAGATTGGAGACTTTGGTTTGGCTACAGATCACCGGCTCGTTGCAACTGTGAGTCACATTCAGTCACCTCTCATGTTAGGGGGTTATTCATTTCACAGCATTGTGTGCTAAAAGTGAATTCTAAATACAATCTTGATGGTTATTGTGTGTTTTTTTAGGAATCAAGCAAGATAGATGTTTCAACTGCAAATATAGAACTTCCCACGGAGAATATGGATGTAACAGGTAATCCATTGAAAACCAATGTTTGCACAATGTTGAGATTGCTTTCTTGTATAACACAGGCAATTCCGCACCGCGGTTGGCTACGTACGGTACAAAAGAAGTTCAACATACATACGTACAATTGTAATTATTTGATTTTGTACACCTCTGATGATCGGCACGTAACTTGCGTGCGAGTCGTACAGGTGGGCTCACTGGGCAGATTGGCACAGCACTTTACGTGAGTCCGGAGGTTTTGGGGAACATCAAAGCGGTCTACAATCAGGTGAGGAGGGATCTTCCCATGTGACACTGGGACCAAGGGCTGGCAGCATATGAGCATATGAACTAAGAATCGACTCCGATGAGTCAAAAATACATCTCGATAAAATCTCATCGTCCTGCGCTTGTGCTGTTGAGACAGAACTGTGTGGCGGAGTCACTGTACAATGCAAATAACTTTGTGGGTAGTCGGGGGTAGCTGCTTCGTGGTGAGACTGGCTCACAAACCATTGTTACCATCAGCCGTAATGGAGGGATGTATTTATGTTGAACTTCTCTCGGACTGCACGTAGCCAACCATGCTATTCGGTGGTGCGGGGGAAGGACAACAAACTAAACACAAAAAGCAGTTCGAAAGGAAATGAGTTTTCAGTTGACTAAATTACGATATTTAGAAGAAAAAAGCATTACATAAATGGAACAGCTACACTGAGGTTGCATGGCTGAAGTACCGGATTGGGAGACACGTTTTTGTTGTAGTTATTTACAGCGGCATTAGCAGATTTTTTTTTCGAAAATTATATTAGACAAACAAAGGTATAAATGTAAACAATTCTATCCATAGGAATATGGAATTTCCACAACTGTTTGATTACCACTAATGGAGATGATATTTTTTTTATATTTTACCACTTTCCATTTTTTTGTGTTTAAAATGGCAAATTGTAAGGTCTTGGGGTGTCTGTCGTGAGCTATATGTTTGTCATGATATTTGTAGAATTATTAACTGCGCTATTACTACATTGTTACGTGCTGAATGCATCCTGTGGTACAATGCTGCATTGCTCTAAGCCTTTAAACATATAATCACACTGGGTCTAGAATCGGACAATGTAAATAAGCAATCGCATGTATGAGCACACTTTTGAAGAGACAAGTTGAAATGTGATTAAGTGGTGGATCTCATTTCAATAAAATAAATCTTCTGCCACATTTTCCCGCAAGGCAACCAATCAGGATTGCTTGGGGGATCTCTCTCCTGCTACCCTCAGTATCTTAGGGCGCCACGGTGGTGAGATGTTAACTACCTTGCCTGGTATGCAAGAGTTTGTGGGTTCAATCCCAACCGCAACACCTGTATATATTGAGTTTGCGTGCTCTCCCCGTGGTCACGTGGATTTTTCTCCGGGTCCTCCGGTTTTTCCTTCCACATTTAGAAACGTGTGTTTCGAGTATTTGACTGATATAAATTTCCACATGAGAAGATACTTCGTTGAGCTATCATTTGTGGCCAATTTGCTTCTGAAAAAGATCTGTATAGCTCAGTGGGCCTTACCTGGTCAAATAAAAAACTAGTTTAGTTGTGCAGGCAAACAGGTGCTTCAGTGTGTCGCTTTACTCTTTGGTTTTTTCGGTAAAGTCACGTAGAAATAATAAAAAATAAAATTATATAATAGCATACGACGTTTCGATCGCAACACAAGCAATCATCAGGTAGAGGAAACACATAACCGCAGATATATATACAGACCTTAAGTAGGGGGAATTAACACAGATATACCAGGGGATACAGAGAGACGGAACATCACACTAAATCAAACAGGGTTTAGCAAAATTTGGAAACTATATAAAGCAACACAAACAGTCGGTTAAAACACAATTAACGCATGGTTTGTGTCGCTTTAGTTTGACTTTTGGAGCATTTGACATTTACTCTTTATCGTAGATCCCTAAACATGGTCTGGTGTGATTTTAAGGCTTCTTTCTGCAACCCCCAGACGTGTAATAAACCGGTGGGAAGTTATTTATTTTCTTTGCTTACTTAAACTAATTTTTATGGTTATTTTGTATCATTATTATTCACGTGCCCCTGTCTTGATAGAGTACCACGACGTGCAGTGACTTTCTCCTCGACATGTCTTGCACGAATTGTTTCCTTCGCAAAGCGTGAGATACCATCATGGTGCAGTTGGCAGATTCTCATCTTTTTTCCTCTGGTGCCAGCAGGCGTGAATTGCTACATGTGACAACTACAGGCTTAATGTAAACCTATCTATATATATTTTTTTATTATGTGGAGACTAAGAAGATCGGGATGCAGATGTGTGATAATCTCGCTGAATGCATACCTGTCAACCCATACAGTTTACCCGTATTCTTGTACAGGGAAATTGAGTTTTCAGGTCCATACGGCGTACAGCTGTTTCAATACGGGCAAAAACACATTTGCTTTTGTCTTTGTGTTTCTCCTTTGTGATGGGAATTTGCAGGATGAACGTTGAGATTTATAAGGGCATGGGTGACCAATAAGGTCTGAATTGGTCTGTAATAAGGTAGGCACTGATAAGGGGTTAATAGGTATGTGAATGTATATTCTTTGGTTCTTTCGGTAAAGTCACGTAGATAGAAAAACTACAATAAAATTAAAGTGAATAAAAATAAAATAAAATTAATAAACCACTAATGTAGACTTTAGCCTGGTTCTTAACCTCGGTGAGTGTATTGGCAGTCTATAATGTCGACTTATTATTGGTTCTTTCAGTAATTTAAATGTAAAAAACCACGACGTTTCGATCGCAACACAAGCGGTCGTCATCAGGAAAAGGGGGGTAAGCCTCTAAAGGTAAACTGTTAATAAAGGTTTGGAGATGGGCGTAGCCAAAGTGTGTCAGCAGCATGGGCGGGGCAGCGAATGTTAATGTAGGAGAAGACAACGACACCGGCATTGGGTGGACACCAATCGAAGCGCCGCAAGGCAATCATTGCACCTCGCTCCACACAGCCACACTGCTGACGGTGGAAGTTCACAAGAAAACACAAATCAAGTCATGACCCAAAGTGGTTCATGACATCTTTCCAATGATTGCTGAGTTTATAACCATCCTCTCGGTTGAAATTCCTGCAGTCACGAAAGTTTTAAGTCAAAATTTAAGTGAATGTATAACTGTATTGGGAGAAGACATGAAAAACGTGTTAAGCTGACTTGTATTTTTCTCAATTTTAGCTGTGCAAGAATGCAGAAAATGAAGGCTTAAAGCACTCATTCATTCATTACTTGGCTGGTAACATGTTCATATATAGACAACTGTCGAGCTTGGGGAGAATTTGGCACAAGTTCACCATCTGGCTGCCATTGCTGCTTATCTGTGGTTCCCCAGCATCGGAGTCATTCATGCTTCAAGAGTGAGCGAATACTGTGTGTGTTAAAAGTTTAAATTATCACGAACAATGCCTCCTTAACTAACACAAGCCTGCATAGCAAGCGGACACTTTAGGCAGTGGTTTTTTAGAGCATAGAACTGTGCACTTTATGCATTGTGCTAACACAGTCCTTGAAACTTTATTTGCAGAAAGTAGATCTGTACAGCCTGGGCATCATCTTCTTTGAGATGACCTACCATCCAATGACGACGGCATCAGAGAGGGTGGCTGTTCTGCAGAAGCTACGCCTGGTAAAGCAATTCAAGCTGTCCACAATGTCCTATTAGCGTCGTCATATGTATAAGTAAGATATATTCGAATACATTAGTCCCTCGGTTAACAGTGACATCGGTTAGCGTTTTTTTTCGGTTAACATTTCACCTCCCATAGTACCCCCCTTGGTTTGGACTAACACAGTGTAAACGGCTCTCGTGTCGACTCATGTAATTCCTATATTAGATTAACAGTTATTTCGGTTAACAATAGTTTTCGTGGAATGGATTAAAACACGTTAACCGAGGGACTATTCTATACATATATATCTCAAGGAACATAAAATCTATCGATCTAAATCAGCTCAAACCTCCAGAAAATGTGTGGCCACCCCAACACTGAAACCCCTCCCCCCTCTTTTCCTACCCCCTTGGAAAACAGACGCTGCTCCGTGCAGCTCACTTCTTGCTGCTCCTCTCGCTCTCTTCCCCTCTCGCCGCTGACATCTTGGCCCAGGCATTCCTTCTCCCCCCTCCTCCCATCCGTGATTGATGCTCCTTTCTTCCTCGTGCTCATCTTGAGCCATGCCCTCTTTGTCCGTCTTGAGGATTTCCATCCCAGCATCCTTTCCTTTTATTTTTCCGTACATTACATCCTTGTCTCTACTCCCCTTCCCCCGATGGGCCACGGATAAAACTTTTATAATTCTAAAATCTCTTTACAACAAATTATTATAGGTTGTGCATATGTGTCACACTAATAAGAGCATTCATTTTTTGCCATTACTTGTCCATAGCGTCGGTGTGTGTCGCCATCATTGTCATGACAACAGATGATCCTACGCCACATTCTGTGTTAGTCTTTTAACAAACATGGGTAACCTATGGGGTGAGATGACATTATTGACACCCAGTACAACGCAATCAACATATCGGTTGATGTAAGCTAGAACAAATACTACCTTTTGTTACATTTGAAAATGCGTACATTTTCTGTTGTTTTCATGTAGCCGACCATTCAGTTCCCTGAAGATTTTCATCCGCAAACACTAAAGCAGCAGGTGAGTGTTCATGTGCTTTTGTGGACAGATGAGAAGTGATGCAAATGTCACAGCGACTCCAGTTAAACACTCACAGTTGCAAGTGTTGTGTTTATAAGTTGCGTGTCTCGATGCAGCTTCCTGGAAAATGAAATGTATCTTGTTACGTATGGCACAAGTGGCTTAAGCATGTGTGATCGTGTGTGGTTGTGTCTGTGTGGTTGTCTGTGGTTTGGACACAAACTTTGGTCCCATTCTCATTGAACGGACAACGAGAGCGCAGAATCTCTTTGTGAGATTTCATTTTGCCGTCCTTTAGCACACTCAAGAGTCGGTAAAACCAAAATCCCCCATGCACTTTTCACGGAATGGATTATTTTTTTTATCAGTGTTGGAGCCAAATGCACATGAGCATTTAGTGCAGAAGCGTCCTTTTACAGCCTCAGTAACGATAATATTATTATTCATTCTCCTCGAGGGCACTCTGATTTTCAGGAATGTCCTGCATTGAGATTATTGGGCAATTGCGCAATGGGAGTTTGTGTAATATCACTTAATTTTCTTAATTGTGAATGCACTTGAAATCACCTGAAACTAAAATAGAGTAAATGGAGATGAATTACTCGAGGGAGTGTATAACATTTGCACATAACATTTAAGATAATTTTAGCAGTTTTATTACAATTTAAGCCCAACTTACGAGGTTTTTTTTCTTCATAAATGAAAAATTTGCTTAGGTTTGAATGATTATTCAAGCACTTTCGGGCCTCATAACAAAAAGTACAGTACTGTATTTGAAATAAATAATATTGACGATAGATAATGCTGTAAAAAGGTGTCCTTATAAGATTCTTAAACAAACGTCCCTCTCCGTATTATCCTGACGTGCATGTACCCCCCTTAATGTCACATTTTGGTGGGGTCACTAATAGATGCTTTATTAATCCCAAAAATATAGGAACAGACTATATATGTTTTAAAGTTTTAGCTGGCTGGCTGGCACGTGGGTGTGCAAGTGCGCAGTGGTGATGACGTCACCCGCATCCCACAGCATTGAGCCAAGTTCATTCATCGGGCTGCCATCACGTCTCCCACCCTCCACCCGGGCCGTGGATCCCGCGCGGACGCGTGGGCAGTACCCGTCCTGAAATGACTTGGGACGAGATCGGCGGCATAAGCTTCCGCGTCAGTTCGTCTGGCACAGGCTGATACACTGCTAGCTGCAAGAGTTCTGAATAGAAATTCCTTCACCCTCATGGCATGATGTCGACAGCACAATTAGAATATAAATGGGGGGGGGGGGAGTATGAAAGGAAATCCTTATTTAACTAATGTTGCAGGGATTTTTCTTTGACCAAATCAGCCGGAATGCATCTGAGCTCGGTCACGGAAGACACCTGGATGGTGCTCAGGTGTGCGACCACCGTGCTTAACACGGGTGTAATGGATTGCTGCGGGGCTGCCTTGTCAGCAGAGTTCAACGCAGCAAATTCCGTTGTTGTACTGCACTATGCCCTCAACATCTTGTCACGTTAAATAACCTCCACGATCCCCACATGGGGAGGCCCTCATTCAGCAGCGGATTAACAAAACAAGGCTGTTCGTTGACGCGTGTTCGATAACAACATTCCCGCGGTGGGGGGGGGGCGGCAGGCGTTCATCATCCGCTGGCTGCTGAACCACGACGCGGGCCAGCGCCCCACAGCGCAGGAGCTGCTCAAGAGCGAGCAGCTCCCTCCGCCACAACTCGAGGAGTCGGAGCTGCACGAGGTGCTCCGGCACACGCTCGCCAACCCTGACGGCAAGGCCTACCGCTCGCTCGTCGGGGAGCTTTTCTCCCAGCGCGTGGCGCTACCCGCGGACTTCACCTACGACATCGACGTGCACAAGGTGCCGGCTAGCGCGGTTGGTTGGCTACGTACGGTGCGAAAGAAGTTCAACGTACATACGTACGTGTGCTGCTCACGTGTTGTTGGGTGGATCGGCGGTGCAGCGGTTGACGCATTGGTATGTGAACCTGGCGGACTTGTGTTTGGTTCCTAGCGATGATGAACCGTAACCTGATTCTGTTCCTCCCTTAAAACCCTTCTCTTCTTCCTAGCCAATCTGCAGCTCCAGAGCCAAATTCCGCTCGTTAAGGACTGCTTTGTGACGTTATTTATTAAGGATCCCTGTCTCATTTTCACATGCATTGCGGCTCTTTAAATATTTTACCGAATTCGAAAAAATGTTTCTGGTTATATTGGTTGCCGACCCCTGGTCTGGCCTATCCTACTGCTACTCTCTACATCTGCCCTACAGCTACAACCAGGCAAACCCCCTATCATCCATATCACTACCCCTATCACTACCCCTACTGATACTGAAAAACAGGAATTGAATATGAAACTGTACTTTAGTTGCAGGTGTGGTGATAGCTTCATATTTGAGTGAACAATCTTTTGCTTCACTATCATTTAGTGTTTCTATAATAATTAAATCTTACAATGGATTGGTTTGTCCACCATATCATTACAATATTTTCGTCTTGTATTTTTGTTAGGGGAATTTTTCTGCCACTTCCAGCATGGTGCAAAGCTACGTTTACGAAACTGTCTGCAAAGTCTTTGAGAGGCACGGTAAGTTCACCGTACGTTTGATTTTTCCATTATATAATGTAAAAAAAGCAGGCGTAAACTTTGCAAAGTGAGTTAATCTGTAAAAGTGGCACTGTTTACTGTGTGCGTAATATGTTGGGGATGGTTTCACATAGCATTGAATGCGAATGCATTGTTCAATGCTTATTGAGTTTTGTTTTCCAGAAAGCATATCTCCAAAACACTAAAGTTAATGTAAAATACTTGGTCACCTTTCGGAAATGAACAAAGTCACCCGCCACTGCACTTGATTTCAATAGCATAGTGGCATTAAGCAAATGCTCCTCCAATTGTTTACCTTCAGCAAAAAAATGTTTCACAGACTTTTATAGACCAGTTTTACTGGTCCTGGTATTCGGAACTTCAGCGCATCGATTTGGCATGGTTCAAATACATATTAATTCACTGTACATCAGGTTTTTTCCAAATTGCACCATGGTGCATCTTTTTATAAATGCCCACGTGATGATCAGCCACTTCATTTGAGCTATCATTTGTGGTCAGGTCGCTTCTGAAAAAGAGCTATATAGGTCAGTGGGCGTTACCTGATAAAACAAATATAAAAATGTTTTATAATTCTTTCCTATTCAAATATATGCGTGATGATTGTCACACTCACTATGTAACGACTTAATTTAGTTTTAAACGGAGGTAAAGTTTGGTGAATTCAAAAAGACGTCCCATGTGATGGTCATTGAGGATTTGGGAAACAATTTTGGAGGCAATGGCATTCTCATTAACTTATATCTGCCAAATGCATGGTGCATTTATGTGCACTATCTATGGTGCAGAGTGCATGTACATGTACCATATATTGCCTGAGGTTGAAAAATGACCTGCAGTTCCCTTAAAGAATGATTTACAAGTTTGATTTTATAGAAGTTTTTGCAGGCAGCTGGCATCTCGGTGACTTGATCGTGAAATTGAATTGTTTCTTCCTTTCTGCCTGGAGGTGCGGTGAAACTCCACATGCCACTACTCATGCCCAAGAATCGGTACCTTTACGAGAACAACGAGGCAGCGGTATTCATGGACCACAGCGGCTTCCTTGTGCTGCTTCCCCACGACCTGCGGGTACCTGTGCCCCATCCCGTGAGGGCGCGTGCGGCGCTTAGGACATTGTCCAGCAACAACAACAGTGACAAACCATTACAGAAACGTTTAATGTTCTCCCGGTAATATCCGGAGATGTGTGTGTATGTTGAACTTGTTTCGCATCGTACGTAGCTAACTGTGATAATCAGAGGTGCGGGGGATGGACCGCAAACTAAACACACAAAAATGCCTCGTCATTGCTGGGTATACTCTTTGGTGTGTGCCACGTGGTGGTGGAATTCAATTCACTTAAATATATTTTGGAACTGACACAAAGAGTATGAATGAATATAACTGTTTATAATTGATGGTTTGCATTTGTTCATCAATGTGAATTACGATAATTTAATATTACAGCGGCCTTTATATGCCCGCCATGATGGCGCACACATTTAATCCCGCGTTTTAGATGTATGGGTTGGTTGATAATGCAAGCTTGTGTAAATCCCAAACAGTACAAAAAGGGGCTCATGAATACATCTGTATGCAACTTTTCATTTCCCGTGTGTACGCACGGGTTTGCCCATGTTCTTCAGTTGCTTCCCAAATACAAAACACCTTTAAGGGAATTGGCATGATTAAATTGGTGACATTCCCAGGTGAAAACCACAAAAGACAACAAGTCTCTTTTACAAGGCAGTCCAAGGATGATATGTATTTGTTGTAATCCTACATGTGATTTAGAGTTTATTTTTGAAGATTAATAGGCATAAAGATTAATAGGTCTAATCGAGGTCTTAAATATTAACTTGGCACTTGGCATTAGTGTGTTTTAGTATTTCTAGCTGGGCTGGTGAGTGCTCCACAGAGAAGCACTTCAGGGGAGAGAGGGTGCAGAGGCAATGTAGTTGAGCACAGAAACGGGAGAGAGTCCTCTTAATTTGCAGCAGAAAGGGACGTGTTACATCTGCAGTTAAATTTTACAATACAGGCATGCACTTCTGCGCATTTGAAAAGGTTTCGTGGAATTTTCTGTCAAAAAGCATTTTTCAACTTTTAATTTGTATTCATTTTTTTTAGGTTCCCTTTGCACGGTTTGTGGCAAGAAACAATGTCACCAACCTCAAAAGGTCAGCTCCAGGCCATTCAATACATTTTCCTCCTGTGTGCTTCATAACTAACAATAAGGTGTTTATTTTCGATGATTGTGGAGTTATTTACATTCCTGAGATCATAGTCAGACATGACATGAAGACATAAAAATAGTACATCAAGATGGAGTGGTGGCACAGTGAGCAGCGCAATATGAACCTGGTCACCTGAGTGTGATTTATTGTCTAGCATCAGCAACGAATGATATCTGAACTAGTACGGAAGCCTCCCCTTCACCAGCCTGCAGTAACCAGTTTGGTGAAGTATCGTTAAACAGCCTCCATGGCTGATATGGCTCAGGGAGGCCTTCTTTCGCTCGTGGATTGACAAAGGACTGTAAACGATTATTAATATTTTTGTTTGTGTCGCAAATCCTGATTGTGATTGACTCAGCCCACCATCTACCCCAGGTCTATAATATGAATATCAATGAGTGGAAAGTTAACACTGTTTGTCCTTTGTAGAGACTGGCCACTGCTATAGTTACGTGAAATTTATACCACTGTCACCAACAGAGATGGGCCCTGCAAAATGTTTAATTGAGCAGTGAAATGCACATTCAACTATGGGCTTACCTGGGCATTGGGAGCTACCATGGTGTAATGGTCTGCACACTCGACTTGCAGTCCGGAGGTCACTGCTTCGATTCCATCTCATGGCGCAGCAGTTGAAACAATGGTGCAAGTTTATTCAATCCCCCCACCTCTATATAAATGGATACATCACAGTCGATCGGCAGGTTGCGTGTGGTGAGGTAGCATGTGGTGAGATAGCATGTGGGGTACTCCCTTTTATCCCAAGATGTCTCTCCAGCATTGTGGCCCTTCTGCCAACAGTAGCGTGAGCAGGCAGTGAACAAGGGCTGCACTATTAACTTTCATCTAACCCAAAAAAACCTTTATTATGAATAATATTGGTCGCGAAAGCCTACGTGTTAAACTGACTATTAACTTTGTTTATAAAAAAAAATGCGCCAAATTTTGTATGAGGAGCGCTGTTTCTTCCAATTCACTGATTGTGCACCTCGGCAGGTACTGCGTGGAGCGTGTGTTCCGGCCCAGGAAGCTGCACCGCGCGCACCCACGCGAGCTCATCGAGTGCGCGTTCGACATCGTCACGTCGGCCGGTGGCTGTCTCCCGGACGCCGAGATCATTTACACCACGTCCGAGATCATACAGGAGTTCCCGGTTCTGCAGGCAAGCGCACAAATTTGAAAGTGGCCATGGTCACCTCTGGAGAACCACGATACACCAGGGCCATTTCAGGGCTGTTGTTGGCGGCAATACATTTTTCATGGGCAGTTGTGCTAACTCAGTATGGCGATGCAAGCATGACCTGCGGATGAGTTCTGTCTCGCCAGTTAAAGCGGAGTTCATTGTAAAATTGGCTTTCGTGAAAAATGATTGGCCTTCAGAGCGCACACCCCCTGGGTAGTCACGTGGCCTCTGTGATCTTATTGGAAGTAGCCTTACCAGTTGCCCACTACTAATGGGAGCAGCAACCAGATTCGTCCAGATTTGGGAAACTAAATGTATTACAATATCAAATTGTGCAGTTACCTGAAGGTGCCAGGTGGCGTGTAGCTTATTTCTGAAAAGGGGCCCTCTACTGGTGGGCTACACAGATGCGCCTCCACTAAATGACCATTTATAGCAGCCCTCCATCCCTCTGCTGGTCACGAACCTTCAACAAGGACCTCTTAAATGTACTCTGATCCCGGGAGCCCTCCCTGCCTAAATCCATTACTGTGCACACAAGTGTCTCGTGTTACACACTGAGAGCTTTTTTGCAATGATTAAAAATAAAACAAATGTTACATTTATACAGAAATGTTTTGCATCCGTGTTCACTCTTAATAAGTAAGCCGCAGAAAAAAAAGCGAAATGGTATTTTTTAAAAAGAATAGCCGAGCAAATGGCATTTATTTTAAACAAAGGTTTAAATGATTGATTTGGATTAAAATGTAACAGATGACATCGCTGCACGTAGGCATGGGAGTCATTTCATTTGTGTATTAATGCCTGACATTTGCTGCATTATACAAAATACTAAAGGCAGTTTTTAATTAATTTATATGGATTCGTTTTTTTTGCAGTTTTTGATCAAATTGCCCTGCATTTATTGTAGGTCCGCATCATGGCGGTGTTGATGGTTTTTAAACAATCAATAAAAAGGGTGAATGTGGCATTCTGCTCAAGTGAGTATGGAATGGGGTTCAATTTCCGTTTAAAACTCTAAGCAAATTCAACATTCCTATGATAGGGGTAAGTTCCTGATTGTTCCCAAATCAGGAATCGAACTTTACACCTTTTGATTACAACCTGTGCCTTCGAACTACTGTGCCAGTGAGTGTGCGAATACGATATAAATGTAGTCTACAGTATTATACACCACACAAGCATGGTGTGCATTACCTCTAGCAGCTGATGACTATGTGGGTGCTGGGTGTGTGGTTACAGGATCGCAACTACTGTGTGCATCTGAACCACACAGCCCTCATAAAGGCCATCCTTATCCACTGTGGCATTCCAGAAGACAAGCACCACCAGGTTTACGGCATTCTCTGTGATACCATGGTAAGGCAATACATACATACCTAAATAAAGGGCTTAGTTTTTTTATGCATAACCTTGTACCACATGTCTATGATGAATAAATGTACATGTAACAGCCATTTTTTCAATTCACTTCTGGATGAGGGTGGGTTGTGGGCTCTATCCCCATGTTTCTTCATGCTGGCTAGTACTGCTTGAAGGCAAGGAGAGAATATGACAATACAACAATGAATGTTTCTGTACTGCCTTCTGTTGCCCACAATGTATCATCAGTCCTGGTTTAAAACTGTGGCAAAGTAGAGGTCATGTTTGGTCCAGAAAAATGCAAAGCAAACCTAAAATGGATTGTATCTTTGAGATGAATGCACAGGCAGTGTGTGTGCCTTGGCTTCAAATGAGAGGAGACGACAATCACAGTACAAAGTACTCTAGTCGTGTCACTGCAATGATGTTTTATGAAACGGTTTGGAGATGTGTACATAGTAAGAACGTTCTATCATTGGCTTATTAAATTCAGTTAGATGTTATAAGGTGAAAAGTAAATACTACATGCAGCATCCTTGTTATGGCTCCTGGTATCAATTGTTAAATAAATAAATGTAATTACCACGGAGCCGTCATATGTTGTTTTATGGAAATACCATCCCTTAAATTTGACTTTTACAACAGAGAGGGCTCAATGCTGGAGTGAGTCGGAGTATAGTTTTGGAGTACAATCTGAAAATATTGGATAATGAATGTGATATTGGCTGCACAGTGATTGCTTTATATTGACTTAATCAAATGTATCTCATGAAACGACGTAAGATCTATCTTAGAAAAAAAGACTGCAGCTCCTGTCAACAATTTTTAAATGAGGGTCTGTGCTTGCCAAACATAAGTCACGGAAAAAGCAAGGAATGTAGAATGGTTTAAGCCACATGTGTGTTATCTCTGGGCGTCCTTTGTGTCAAAGCCTAAATATTTATCGCAGCTGGCTTCCACTCTGCCTTTGAACTTTTTGGGGGGTAGTAAAGAAGCTGCTTTCATGAGTCGTATGTATTTTTGTGCAAATATGTCAGCCCATTTGTTTTTTTAACGCAAAACAACTGAATACGTTTTGGTTTTACGTTTAGGTCTTCAAATTTGCTAAATAAAAATGTATATATTTTTTTATGTGGGGAACATCTCAGTTGCAGGACATGTCAATATGAGAAGATAAAGATGCAGCACCCCTGAGTGGACAATAAAAGGCTCTCACACCAGGAGCTCTGATATCCACCAGAATAATACGTTCTCTAACATGGTGTTATGCATTGCTTTGTGCGAGGGTTCTCAAATTTTACATGTTCTTTGTCCCGTGGCATGACACTAATATGCACAAATGGAATATATAATAAGAATATGTTTTTCAGAGTTAATTTTCATGTGTTTTTACACAAACGTATGCAGTGGTGATCTAAAGGTAAGTTCTTAATTTGACTCGTGATTGGATTATTTTTGTTTGCAGAATGAGAAGCGAACAAAGCAGCAGATAATGGCAAGTCTGTGTAGCCTGGGTCTGCATCCCGACACAGTGAGTAACACTCGGCGATGAGAAGTTCACGCATGTGGATTTTAATGATGCTGTCCTTCGGATAACTATGACATTTAATTCTCCCATAATTAGTGTGATGTTACTGCTAGGCACCACAGCTTATGTTCCAGTAACCTAAGCGGAAATGCCAATACTGTACTTAATTTGTACTTGTGTTGTTTTTAATGAAGACTAAATCAATCTGTAGCCCTATTCGTGTCTCCAACTCCCACGCTTCCCCACTCAACAGCACAGCTGTACACTGCATCGTCAATCTATTATGCAGAATTAAACTAAGGATTGAGCGGTAACTAAGAATGTTATGTAAATGGGGTTATAAATACAGTTTAATTTATGTAGCCAAATCATCCAGAATGCACCCATCAGATCTCAGGAGTTAAGCAGAGTTGGACTTTGATTGTGCTTAGATGGATGACCTCCTGGGTACCAGGTGTTGTAGCCTACATGGTGGATGGCAGAGGGCAGTCCAACAAGATTAATTATTGTAGCACATTTCTATACTCCGTCAATGCTCCTCACCTTTACCAACCCACACTGACTGGCGTGGCAAAGTATGGGCCATAACCCTACGACCCATATGGTAATGGGAGGCTGTCATCCATTTCTGGCAAAGGGCTGGATATGGACATGTACACACAGTACAATGCTGCTTGAAATGCTTTTAATCTACCATATTTTCCCGCATATAACCCGCGGGGTATACCACTTTTTACAAACAAAACAAGACTCTGCGGGGTATATGGAGGTGCGGGCTATCCCAAAAATATTTTACACGTGTGACATGTCATAACTCGTTTAATCTTTTCATGGTAGGACTATCCACTTCGCAACACTTACAGTACCTTTGACTAAAGCACTGCTGAATAAACCACTCACACTACAATTGCACATGGTATCACGTTTTAAATTCAAATTGTTTGTACAATGAAGCGACAATGTTTGAAGTGGGTGCACTTTGTTTACCTTAATACTTTCAGTGGCTGTAGGGGTGCGATAGTTTCAGCTGAGGCTATGGATTGCACAATGGGAAGGGCCTTAACAAGCGTCTACCAGACGCGGAATCATAATTGCCGAGTCCCTTCGGCCGCTGCGATTGGCTGAGCACTATACAGTTGCGACCATGAGCTTTGTTTCAAACTTCCAATGGCTTTGTTGCCAGGAGGCAATGGCGTTACCGTAGTGCCGCTATTGTCTGCGCAGTGCACAATCTACCAGTGCTAAAACTCTACAGGGGTAACTACTGGTCCAGTAGTTGAAATATGTTGAGGTCTAATGCTGGTAAGCCTAACAGTACGCTTACTTATCTACCAGTTATGTTACTTATTTATTGGATATTTACTTTTGTTACTTATGTACTGTTTTAAGTTCACTCTTTTCCGGTTAGTTTGTTTTCTTTGTGCACGTTATGATTGTAATGTTAACACTTGATAGTGGAATGTATTACAAATGTAAACTTTGTATTAATATGATGGAATTAAGCTGCGGTAACGACGTTAAAGATATAGTGGCATGCGGGGTATATGGAGGTGCGGGCTATCTGAAATTTGTTTTACACAAAACGCTATTTTTGCGGTGTATATGCGTCCGCGGGTTATATGCGGGAAAATACGGTACACTTAATCTTTGGTTCATCTGGCTACAATCCGTTGCAGTCATGTGTCGACACTTGCGATGTATTGATATTTGTCTGTATGTGTTATGTCTGGGAAAACAGAAGTGTCGTGTTGGAAAGCCATTTATTCAGATTCCCTAACTCCTATTTGGTTTCCAGCAATGCATATCATGGGCAATAGGTAATTACACTTGGAATGGGTCTTTCCTAAGTTGACTTGACCTGAAACACGTGTTTGGCCCAGTATGTGAGGCTCAACACTGGGACTAAAAAAGGAAGACAGTATTGTGCTGGCTAAAACTATCCCCTTGTATACCTTGCAACTTTAATAGGTGCCCACTGATACCCGTTGTGGCAACAGTATTTCCTCCCAGGTCACCTTTTAAAAAGATAGCAGTGTTTCTCAACTCCAGTCATGGTACCTCCAATTTAGAACGGTTGGCTACTTACCGGGTGAAAAAGAAGTTCAAGATACTTGTAAACCCCCTCCCCCCCAAGCTTTACATTCATATGCAAATTAAGCCACTGCAAGCACCTGACGGCGGGATGGTGGGTAATCACGGAAAGCTGTAGTTGCGTTGTGGGGGATTGCGAGGGCTGCAGTTGAGAAACGCACTGGTCTTTGTGACGAAAAGGGAACTCATTGTCTCCGCCTGTCAACTCCTGGCGATAACAAAAGAGCTCTGGCCAATGAGCACAGAAGTCAGGGTGATTGGTCCGTCCGCCCACTCCTCTCACTCACAGGTCACGCTGCTGTTCCACTTTGTGGAGCGGCGCGGGAATAGGATGGACGTCTTGGCGGCACTAAGGCCGCTCGCGGGCAAACACTCCAAGACGGTGGGGCTGGTCAAGCAGGGGCTTAGCTACCTGGAGGAGGTCATGAAGCACCTGGAGTACATGTGCATTCGGCATCAGGTGAGCTGGGTTTAAAGTGCATTCAAACGATTAATGTTCCTTAAAGACAACGATTTGCCCTCCTAGAAATTTTTTATGATTTTTCACCCTTCATCGTAATTTTTCACTCAAGATTCGATTGATTTTATTTATTTGTGGTGCATGTGGAAATTATATTCACTGCAGTGGCCTTGAAAGACTAATCTCACCTTGCCAAGGACCTCTTCCTCTATATACCAGGACAATCTAGTTTCCAACAAGGCCATTCTATGGAAACTGCTATCCCAAGTGTGGTATATGGCCTTGTCTCTTCAGACCATGGATTACAATAAGTCCATCACATTGAGTCAGGGACTAGCCATGACTGACTTTACTTCATTAGTATTATATTGGTGTAGTCATTGGTAACTTTTCTTGAAACCATATGACTGCCAAATTTCAATTCAACAGTGGTGTATCAGTGTTTTTACATGGGCATTGGCCCTCAAAGCAACCCAACCCTGAAAATATTTAAATGAAAAAAATGTACTAAAACATGTCATTGTCAAATGTTGGGGCCATGTGGTGTTGGTTCTTTGTGTTTGGGGCGCAGGTTGTGATAAGCCTCGGGCTCGTTTACAAAGTGCAGCTTCACAGCGGACTCATCTTCCAATTCACCAGCTTTGTCCGGCGCAAAAACAAAACAGTGCTGGATATCTTGGCCGCTGGGGGGCGCTACGATAACCTGGTGAGGACAGCCAGGGGCTTCGGGTCTCCGCTTCGTTTATTATCAAGTCATGAACACGGCGTGTATAGGTGGCATGATGCCAAATTAAAACCCCACGGTGAATTCCTGCTATGTTATGAAAATTATATATTAATTCACAGCCCTCGTCGATCCGTTGCTGGACGAAGGCCTCCCCATGCCATGTAAATTATAGGGTTGTTGTGACCATACAGCACGGGCTAGTGAAGTGGGGGACCAAGGACTGGCTTGCGTATCACTCGCCGCCGCTTGGAGTCGTGACTGAATATTGAACTCATGCCGCCGCATGCAAAAACTGTGCCACCACGCTCGACAGAATGTTTTTCTTTGCAAAATTTAAATTATAGGTTTTATTTTATTTCAAATTCTCATCAATATATCGTTTGAACAGCTTTTTAAAAAGGCATTCGGCATGCTTCAATGAGAAACAAAGATTATTCACCCGTGGAGGGACTCATCAGCATGTGGTAGTCGGTTATGGATTGCCATTTATACTGAGCGTTATATGCAAGGAGACAATAACTGAGCCATGGGGCCCCTGAAAGTTATACTACTATACAAAATGGTAATCGTTCCACAAACGTATTAACCTACTATCTTACTGCAACTGAACTTCTTAGAGGCCAGGACTGTGGTACAATTTTCCATCCGAACATGCAGTCTCGCTGCGCGTCACCAGCAGTGAGTATCCCCCAGTGTTTATTCAAGTCACTGTATTTTCTTTTTATTGGGTGAAATTGTGACCAATAGCCATATCAGACATTAGTACAGCTAATCGGCATAATCATTGGTTCACTGCAGCTCAATGACTCAGTCCTACAAAACGCGTGGTGAAGTTAGGAGATGTCCATGTGCTCGGCATTTGAAGGCCTGAAGACCAGAATTGGTAATTTCGCCGACAATGTGTTCAGGGAGGCAGCTCCATATCTGGACAGCAGAGTGAAGGGAGCTTCTGTCCAGGGAGCACTGGTCTGGCAACTGGGGGGGCAAGGACGTGGCTTGGCAGGGTTGTGCATCATTTGGTGGCACGGCAACTTTCATATGGGGGTAGAAGCATGGCCTGAAGATCTGGAGGCAGTGGTTGATGTGCATTTTGTACAGGACAGTGACAAGAGCGTCCTGTATTATACGCCACCTACATTGCCAATCACTGTATAGAGTTGTGAATGCATCCACAGCATTATGATGTGGGCACTGGTCTCTGGTCTCGTGCCTCTCTACGTGTGCAGATTTCAATGTTTCGAGCACCGCAGTCATCGGGGCCTGTTCCCTCTGCGGTTGGGGTTAGCCTGGCGCTCGACAAGATCACTTCAGCCATCCTAAGCAAGGAGGACCCGGTGAGGGCGGGGTGACTTGTGCATGGACACAGCCATCAAGCATGGGCTTGCAGCGTCTCGGGTTAAACACCCTGGTGCAACGTTCAACACCAGCACTGAAAGAAAACCTCTAACATTAATTTGATTTGCAGATTTTGTGCACTAACGCTGATGGCTATTGGCAACTTCCATATATTTTTTTCATACAATTATATTTCAATCGTGCTATCGACATCATGTCATGAGATGAAGATTGCCATTTGGAACTTGTGCAGCTTTAAGTGCATCGCCTTATTAGAGAGCAGTCCTGGAACACGATGTGGCCAATTTTTCATTCACTTCATTTTATTAATCCATATTAGGGCCACGTTTTTTTTTAGAAGCCTGTCAAAAGAGTGTTTGTAGTATATCAATGAAATCAAAATGTTTCACTCTAAGAGCTGGAACACGCTCAAGTGTAAAATCTTAATTTTACTGTGTTATTTTTATTCTACCGTCATTGGCAACAGGGATGAGACATAAACTGGCTGCACTGGATAATCCAGTTTAATCAAGGGTGGCTGCCAGTCGCCATATTCCGGGGACTTTTGCATATCATTACTTAAATATGGTTCGTTCTAATATGATTACTATGGTTCGTTCTAATGTGATTACTGAACCAAAGATTACAAGAAATATTTAAACTGGTATTCGCAATATTTTAACAAGCGTGGATAAAGTTCATTCATTAAGTAGTGAAAGGAAATCTTGTCCTTTGCATTTTATTATGAACCTATATTGTATTCGTATGACCAGCAAAGTAAGGGAATATTTTTTTAGGAATCTTCATGATTACGTTTGGATAATAAATTCAGATCTTAATCAGTGCTCACCAGTATATTGTACTCTTTGGTTCTTTCGGTAAAGTCACGTAGGTATGAAAAATCCAATCAACAAAGTCAAACAGGACTGACTATTACAATGCAACATTTTAATTGATGCTGATAGACACTTCTAATTCAATGAGTAATTAATTATAAACTAATGAATGCAGACCCTGAGTCCACTGTTGGATGAAGGCCTGCCTACACAATTACTGACAAGGTGTGGTTCATGGTGGATGTCTTACCATACTTCACCAAGCTGGTCAGCGTGGGTTGGTGAAAGGCGATGGGCCCAGGAACGGTTGAGACATCACTCACCACTGATGTTGCCCTTTACACTGCACGACCACCCCACGCCCTTAATGAACGCAGTGAATCCTCTTGTCGTGTCTGTCAGTAACACTGCCGTGTCGTCAACGGGGTTTCCCACACTTTTACAGCCGTCCTTCAATCTGTGCGATGTTCTGGTTGGCGCTGTCGGGGACGCCATGCGTCCCAGGGCGTGCTCCTTGGTCAAGGACATGTGGGCAGCTGGCCTTCGTGCAGGGGTGCACTACGACGTGGCGCAGGTAAGGGAGAGACTCGTGGTCGCACTACACGTGCAACAACGTGCACCATCGTCACACGCTGTATGTACATGCACAGCCCTTTTGTCAATCCACTTCTGGATGAGAGGGCCCCTCCACGCTGCACCGTCCGTGGAGGTTGTTTAACCCCTTTCCCGTTCCGATGACACACGTGTACATCATCGGAACGGAATTGGAAGAAAAAATTAAATGAAATAACTTTATAGGGACTGAGGCTTGCACGAGAGCATGCGGGAGAGCATGTGACACAGGTTGGCGCCAGCTATCATAGAGTGCGGTCGTGTATCGCTTTGGTTCTCTGCGGTGAGTACAATGTCTTTAAAATCAACGGCGCTATGCCTCTCTAAATAAAATTAACGTTGAACCGCTTGCGCGTTCCGAGATTCAGCAGGGAACGGGACCCACCCTGCAACAACTGTCAGTCGCCTCAGAACGGGAAACGGTGAAATATGTTTTGCCATGCAAGTCAGTGTGTGAAGGAGAGCATAGATGCGAGACCAAAGAAATACAATACGATGGGTTATCTTGCACTCCCCTGTTGCCCACCACATAGCCCCGCAGCAGCCTATAACATCTATTTTTATGCAAGTTGGCGACCTATCCAAGCACTAGCAAGGCTCAAACTTACTTAGCTTTTGTGATTCGATGACATTGGGTACATTCCGGATGATTTGTCATCTGCAAGATCTATATAATTATCAAAGTATTAAAAATAAGATTAGGTTTTACCCTTTCTGGCGATAAAACAGGTGTTAAGATGTTGAAACACCAAATATAAACCTTTTGTAAGGAATCAAGTCTGTTTGTTTGCATGTTCACCACCAATACGTGTGGTTAATGCACACTTGATTCCTATTTGTTGTTTGAACATCTTAACACCTGTTTTATTGCCATAAAGGGTAAAAAAAACGATTATTTTTCATAGCTATATAGTTCTGGCTAATACTATTGTCCCAACTTCAGCGGGACCAGTTGAGGTTTTGTGCGAATGTAAAAACGTTGGTGGTGCACTGCTGTCGTCTGCCACTTTAAAACTGGATTGGTGAAAATCCCCGAGATCGTCATTTTTTCTGACACTCCCAATCTGCTGGGCTATGATGTGGTCAGCGGATGGCAGTAGAGCCATGGGATTCCTCTCCTGTGTTGCGTATTGGGTGTTATTATACCCTCTTTGTCTCGCTTTCGTTGGGTACTCCCAGTTCCATCCCTTTTGCAAAACACTCCTTACGGAAGAACATGTTTCTGTCCCGTGTTGCTGATGGGATGATTTCAGGATATCCTGGATCACAACTCAATGGGCTGCTTTACAAAATATATGATCAGATCTTGTACAGCCTCTTTATGGCAGCCGCTAGGTCCATGAACTTCCGGCAGTAGGAGTCCTCCATTGTTGGTGATTGTCAGGTGTTGCCGATATCCCAACTGTTGCTGATGTTTCAATGTCATTCCTGTTTGTTTTAGTGCCTGTTCCATGCCATCAGATCATATTTTTCTCGACCGTCATCTGCCTCTGAAATAGATTTCAGACGTTTTGGGGAACTGCCCTTCTTCAAAGGAGAAGGTCCATTTCCCAAAATGTAGCCTATTATTTACATTTTCCTTTCAGGCAGTATGATTGATAGATGTATTTTTTTCGTGTTATTTGTGCTTGTGCACCACTGCCAATGCAGTGGCACCAAATAATTTGTTGAACAAAAATGGTAATGATTGATAATGCTCGCATGTTGTCTTCTTCAGTCGCAGGTGGACCTACACGATTACTGCAGGCAAGCAGACATCCCTTTCCTGGTGCTGTTGGAGTCCGGGACTGTGCGAGTACGTGGAGCTCTGTCTTTTAATCACAATCATTGTGGTTCATATTCTTGGTTCTTTCGGTAAAGTCACGTTGAAGGGAAGCAATAAAATAAATATTTTTATTATTATTTCATTGTTTTATATGTATTTTATTATTTTATTGTTTCCCTTCAACGTGACTTTACCGAAAGAACCAAGAATATGAATCACTGCAGTCACGAAAGCTTTAAATAAAAAAATCATTGTGGTGTTAATATATTTTTGACGGATGCCGATGATTTGGTTAAGGCTTTAATGTTCACCTCAATTGTGGTGATCACTGTGGGGGTCTTTTTTTATTACGTTAGGTGAAGGCCGTAGATAAGGAATGGCAGTCGGAGAAAAAGGTTGTCGACTTTGAAGTTATCAGCTTTCTTCAGCAGAATTTGAAAAGTCGCGCTGCAGAAGAAAGGAATTGCAGGTTGGTTGGCACCTTCTGTGTGAAGTCCTCGGTTTATGTTACCACCACATGCACATACAAATATTTTTTTCCTTGCTATTCCAGTTTCCTTTGACGTGCAAAAATACTCGAATGGCGTCGACAAAACATTATAACTAGGCCTCGCCTGAAAAATAGTCTCAAGAACATTTACATATTCCTGTGACCACTGGGAAGTGAGCCAGCCTGATTCACGAACCTGGTAACTGGGTTAAGCTCGCATTACCAATGTAGCCTTATCGTGAAATGGTTTTGGTGTTTAAAAACATGGTGGAAATATAAAACTCATAGTTCTTTGCTTGAAATAGCCTCGCCAAATCCACAGAGAGATTTACTGCTGCATGTTTTTTGCGGTTGTGCTTTATAGCAAGCTCTCTGAAGTATATTCTGGTTGTACCGCGTGTTGTTCAGCAAGATGTCTGACGTTTCGCTCCTCATGCAAGGAGCTTCTTCAGGAACTGAAGAATGCATCATTGATTCATTAGAGAGCTACCAAGTATACCTATGTAAAACATTTTTTTAAATCAAAATCGCTTCCTCCTGCTTTGAAAACGCAGCATCAGTTAATGGTTTCGTGGGTAAACAATGACTGTGTGTCACACAGTGTCACGCGTTGGTGTCTCGGCAGTTTCCTGAAGTTGCCACATGAGCAAGCATTTATCATCGACATTTTTTTGCAGAGATACATCAGAAGGAGTCATTGTTACAACGCAAAAGGGACCAAGTTTTAACAGCACAGGTGAGGATGTGTATTTGGTCTAAAATGCACAATCTATGATCTACTGAACCCGACGGATGTTGAATGCAGCTCTTTATGAGTCCATATCGGTATTCTCCCGGGAGCACTTACAAAGCCAATATTAATATTTAAAGCTTCAATAGACCACTGCATAAAAGATGAAATACCCTTACCAGGAGCTTTAAATAAATTACCTCAAAAACGTTAAATATTCATTTCACATTCTCGTGAAATGTAGTAACGTGGTGAGCATCCCCGACTCATTCATTATAAACTAAAGCAGGCTTATTGATAGGTTAGCTTGGAATTAGTTCTGTGGCTTTTTTATGAGCATGGTGGTAAACGTTAGCTCGTGGTCAGACTGAATACATTCCTTTAATTTTTTGTTTTTAATTCACAGGTGCCAGTGAAACCTTTGGAAGTGTAACGGTGCCTAACATTAACTTTGTCACAACTGAAAAGCTACCCTATAATACCAAGAAAAGATATGAAACACAGGCAAGTTTGACTCACTCGATAAGTCGCAAGATGTAATTTTCATGATAAAATATTACATTGTTTAATTGGGTTGTTTTCTAATGTATTCTTCTTTACCAAAGTTTGTTTATATTGTGCTTCAGATTATTTCTCGGATTCACCCAGTCGTAAGCAACATGTTTCATAAACACTTGGATGTTGAAGTGATTGCGGTAAGTTCTGGACATTACAATCATCACGATGTATTCAATGGATACTAAAGCTAAAACACATTTAATATGCTTCAAATCAAGATGTAATATGTGGTAATGTTTACTTGTGTTTACTAACTTCTGAATTCATACATTGTCTTTGTTCCCAATACCAGGTGGATTTACCAGGAAACATGTTGAAGAATTTTGCCCATTTGGAGGTATATAGATTAAAGTAATCCTAGATCATTGCACTAGGATATTATTATAGCCATATGTGGTTGTCACCATCGGCCATGATTTATCCACTGCTAGATTAATGCCTCGAGACATCTTTGCCATTCTTCATGGTATTGTGTGATGCCACAATCCATCTCGCTCCTGCACATGAGCTCATCTCATCACTCCGTTCTCCATGGTGGTTGTCCCCTCGGGGATGTTTTCTCCTTTGGCTGCCGCTCCATCATCGGTGCCGTCTATGGGTCATCATCCATTCTCGCTGTGTGACCGGCTCAAGCCCACTTTTCTAAACGACCAATATGCTTCTAATGTGTTCTCTGATCCATGTCTTCCTCTTTCTCTCTCCATATAATTCCCAGCACACACCTCTACGTGCTTATTTGTGTACGTTTCAGCTTTTGTTCCATTTTCTTTGTCACTATCCATGTTTCTGATCCATATGTCACAGCAAGTAATATGTACCACTTGAAAATGTCCTTATTTATGGACATTGGTATGTTGCTCTTAATCATTAAGTTCAATTTCCAAAAGCACTCCATCCACCTCTTAATCAACTCTTTGTTTCTTTACGTTGATCCTGGTCCCTCATAAATTATTTCCCTGGATATATAAAATACTCTTGTTACCGAATCACCTGGAATGCACCACACATATCACTCCACTCCTCCATTATTGGTGTTAATTCTTTACTCTTTCTCTATTAAATAAGGCGTTATCTTCCTTTCTCTTCACCTTGCTGATACCATCTATATCCCAATTTCTCCCAGATCTGTCTCCATTTCAACAAGACTGATTCGCCAGAGTCTAAGCGTTGTATGTCGCAGAATCGAAATCCAGGTGTCCAGTTTGTACCCGTGTATTCTTAACCAAGGAATGCGCTTCTGCAGCCATCTGGAACGTTATTCCGCTATTAGGAAGCCACTGGAGCTATGCACTTTAACATTCAGATTGAAAACTAATTTCTTTAGAACTGCTTTTTGTCTTTATTGTGCTTCCCCGCACCTCTGCTTAGCACGGTTGGCTACGTACCATGCAAAATTAGTGGCAAAGGGAAGAGATCTATCATACTTATTTTTAAATCATTCTTTTCAGCTGAACATGCTCACACAAACATTATTTGCAGGTAAAACATCCATTGGGTGCATGATCGGCCACTGCATAACTGATTTGAAAGCTCCTTTGCATCAGAATTTGTCAGCCTTTGGGTCTTTTCAAAAACCACTTTGTGGTCCATCGAGCTCACACTAACATCTGTGACAGCAATCACCAACACCTTTCTCTATGTTCAGGAGACAATACATCCGGAAGGGATACTTAAATGCAACTTAACTTTAGGAGAGGTGACTTCGGATTGTGTTGGGTTTGCATTATTTAATTGCTGTTGTTTTTACAGTGTGAGGATGAAGAGTCCTTTGAAGAGAGCAGAAAGGAATTAATCGGCAAATTGCCAAAGCAGCGAAAGTATTTGGAGGATATCTGCGATGAAATCCACGAGCTGAAGATAGAAAAACGGTGGGTGGCTCACCAGTGACAGATTAAATATCAAATTCAGAGTATTGTGTTCTACAGGGTATCCATTGAGGTGTCATCCGTGATAATTAGATTATCTAGCCATTTGAACTGCACCATTTAAATATTCGCAACATATTCCTTATATACTTAGGTATTTCTGAAACCAAACAAGATATCGTTAGCAACATATAACAGGAGCAGAATAAGCAATCACAGCGGAGGTATTGAAAAACACCTGGAGTTCTTTAAAATGTTGATACGATTGTGTGTCGCCAACACCTTGGTGGACATGTGGATATCTAGGGTGATGGTAAAATATTCATAACACCAAATATGATTAAATATTCATACCACCAAACAAACCAATGTCTATTCTTTACTAATGGAGGACACCTTTGTGGGTATCTTATATTTAGAAATGTTTAGGTTGTGGAAGGTAAATGTCTCACTGTTGAACGTAATGGTTGCTTTAGTATTGTTTATTGTTCCTACATTTTATGGATGAGAATTAATTTTATCGGACTAGATTGAAACACACTCCTCTCATTGGGAACTTTTCTCATTAAACTACATTAAAGTTTGATGACATTTGATGTTGGTTTTGGATTCCATTCCTTAGTATATTTCAGTCCAAACATTCATGTAAATTCTGTAATAAATGTTTTATGTTAAAAGTTCATTCATGCACATCTGACCATTGGCCAGTGTGTTGGTGGATTCGAGCCTGAGGTGGAAATTAAACATTCCTACAAGGTCAGCATCTCTATTAAGGCAACCACTGTTGACCCACTACAAAGTGGTACAACTACCAATTTTATCGACCGATTAAAGATGATGGCTGAGATGATACCCAACTTGGAGTTTTACTCACAACCTTCTGACTGGCTAAAAGGTCAAGGTACAGCCCAGCAATTTATTCTGTAATCCACTACTGTATCTGTGTAAAGTCCTTCACTAGATGGGGCTCTAGAGAACCCCTCAATTCAGTATTGGTCTACTCTTCCATACTGGCCAGAAATCCTGGAAGAGGTGGGAGACTTTACCCCACCAAAACCAACCTGCCAATCGACCCATTTATACCACTAGGTAGACAGAGGTAGGGTTATAGTACATCATGCATTCATTATCGAATATAGTCCCCATACATAAGTTATCCCACAGATCTTCGTCAAGTTGGCAGATATAGATGCTGCCAAACACAACTGACATGGACTGTCGTCTCGTTTTCAGGGTGCCCATAGTGATCGTTTACAGCTACAGGGATGACGTTCACCGTTTCATCTTCTGAAGCAGCACAGCGGCACACGTCTGCCTCCCCACCGTTGCCATTGACTGCGCCTCCAGCAGTATTACTTGAACGCAAGCGGTGGGGAAATCCAAGAGATGGGGAGAGGCAGAGCCAGGAGAGGAAGGACACACATTGCATGGCACGACCGTGTCTTCCATATGAAGTGCGTTAATGCAAAGACTCCGTTGAGCTGCACGGAAAGTCACATTACAGATACTCGTGAGCCGATCATACATGCAACAAAAACATGAGTTTTTAAATAAAATTTTATGAAGATAATCGTGCTTTGTACTGATGCTTTTCAAGTATACATAAATGTACATAATTTCATGTTTTCCTACTTTAGTGAAAAACTTGTTTTCAATGCTTGTTAGATTAGGGGAATAGGTTACTGTTGGTCATCGGCCTTATTAAGAGAAAAATCAAGTATGCATTTCGACAGGACTGAAATTGAATTCATGTACATTATAAAGGTGTTCACATTTGCCTCATACGAGTGATTATGAAAGTGTCAGATTTGAGAGTTTATAGGATGAAAGAATACTGTACAAGACTGATAAGGTTGACGATGTGTGAAAGCACTCATGTGTAAGTACGCTTGTCATACCTATCTCAGTAATGTAAGCCTACAATGTCAGGTTTAAAATCCTTAAACCCTGTTTTTCCCCATTTGCTATTAAGTACCAGGAGTGTAACGATGCATCGATTAATATCGATTATTAGCTTCTCATGCCATGCATAGAACCACCTTTGTTTTGATGCATCAGTAATAATTATCCTTTTGATTCACGTGTTTGTGTATCATAGATAATGTGACTTCAGGCACAAGAATGCTGCTACGTTCACCAATTTGTAAAGAAAAGGGGTTATTGGACGGAGTCTTGGAACGTGGTTCAATTGATGTTGAAGGTGTTGAATCGTTGCACCCTTAGCTCATACGAAGACTTCTGCTTTCTAAAGTTCTTGCAAAAAAATAATTGCTGTGTCGCTGAATGTACATTGGCAGTTTGAATACTGCAGATCATTGTATATTTTTGTAATGGGTTATTCTTTTAATGTTGGACAATGTGACATTTTTGCCAGGGTGGTACAATCTCTGGTTATGATTGTGAGACCATAAACGGTAAGCTCGAAAGTGTCAATAAACTTGAATTACTTTTACATTTTATTTATTTTAAACTCAATGTGTGCATATTATACAAAATTTGTATAATAAATCATTGAAAAAAAAACCTGTGAAAGCAACACAACACGTGATCATAGTTCAAAAACAAGTGTACAGGGATGAAATAATAGCTACAGAAAAACTCCGTATGTTACATACCTCAATTCAAACGATAAACTATCGCTTAATAGACTTAAAGCTTTCGTGGCTGCAGGAATTCATATTCTTTGGGTCTTTCGGTAAAGTCACGTAGATAGGTTCAAATTAATAAAACAAAAAACTACGACGTTTCGATCACAACAGAAGCGATCGTCATCAGGAGGGAAAAAGACGACCGCTTGTGTTGTGATCGAAATGCAGTTTTTTGTTTATTTTATTTTAATTAATTTTGACCCATCTACGTGACTTTACCGAAAGACCCAAAGAATATCTCTTAACATACGAGTGAAAAGAGCCTTCCACGTAAGTGGGTCAGGTTTGTGATGAGAAATATAATTGGTGAACCATTCCACGATTGAGTCTCTTGTACGTAAATAAATTAATCGCAAAGGTCATTTGCAACATCAGAAAATGTAGTACCCAACCAACTACATGAGACATGAGCAACCGAGGTTTAAGATGGGTTTCTCCACTACTGACCATGTTCTCTGTACATACCGTCAATCATGTTCTGGAAAAGACATGAATATTGTATTACAAATGGCATAGCCTTTTGCAGACTATTAAATGGTATTTGGCTCGGGGGAGAATTGATGCAGTCTAAGATGGTTAAAGGGAGTCGGAAAATGAACTATGTTTCATGAGTTATTCAGTGACAGTTTTTTTTTTCAAATATTGGATTGCAAAAAGCTAAAATATAATTTTGACAAAATACAGTGCTAACAATCAATGGTTAAATGTCAGAATATTGTAATAAAGGATGCAAAGCGGATTAAAGTGAGCAAAATAAAAGGTACCAATTTTGGAGTTGCAGCAGAATCTACGGGACAACTTAAAAACAGGCGGGATATATACCTAGGAGTCCTTGAATGCAGACCGGAATATAAAAATGTGCACAGCTGGGTGAGAAAGTTTCCTGTTGACGGATCAGAAACAGGTATTGAAATAAAATGAAAAGCGCAAAAACATAAATGATTTGAATTGCAATTAAATATAAACACGTTATTGAAGGTGAATATTCAGGAATATACAATGTGTAAAGAGCACGTTATTAAGTTGGATACATCTTTTAAGAATGTTTCATAGAAAAGCAACCCATCAATTCCCCTCCCCAATATTTTTTTTATCGAAAAATCAGCACCTACTCCATACCAAAACAATAAGTATACTATTCTTTGGTTCTTTCGGTAAAGTAACGTAGATAGAAAATAATAAAATAAAAATGAATACAATAAAAAAACTCGAGACGTTTCGATGGCAAGACACAAGCAGTCATCGCTCCGCTGGTGACGATCGCTTGTGTCTTGCTATCGAAGCCTCTCGAGTTTTTGTTTCTTATTAATTTATTTTCTTTATTTTCTATCGACGTGACTTTACTGAATGAACCAAAGAATATGAATTCCTGCAGTCACGAAAGTTTTAAGTCAAAAAATAAGTATGCTGCTAAAACTAGCAAGTTAAGTAATTGCTTCAATTAATGATAAATGTATAATCAACTGAATTCACTCGTATTCATAGCTGAGCCGTGCACTATTCAGAATTGTATAAATAACTTTTAAATTTAGAGGTTAAATCCTCAACTAATGCACATTTTCTGAAAACATGAAGGATGCTCACATTCATGAATGTAAAATGAAAGACAACTCGCAGGAGTGTGATTGTGTGCATGCCATCCAAACTGGAAGAGCAAGACTACACGAACTCTCACATGAAGACCTCTCGTCGTGGCCGGCCGACACAAAGACGGGAATGGCACAGGATGTTAGAAAGCGGCCGAAGTGATACGCGAATGCAACCAACTTTCCAAACTCCTTTTTTACGCTCGAAGAAAACCAGCATCCATTCCAGACACACACACTACCTATACAACAACACTGAATCTCATAAGCGCGGTATCAACCCCCGGCACCCGGCACGAGACGCAGCACGCTGTGTTTATTATTCCACTGCCACGCGCAGCAGCAGGAGCCACGTGCTCACAGAAGCCTGAGAAACACGGCGGTGACGTCATCGCGGCGAACATGGCGAGCGCGGTGGAGGGAGGCGGCGGTGTTGGCGGCTCCATCCCCTTCTCGTTCACAAACAACAACAACAGCAGCAGCACAATGGCCAGGTTCGTCATCGTCTTGTCTGGACCGGCGTTAGCGAAGGGATCCTCGCTCGCATTCGGATACGGGCAGCGATAATCGGTTCCGAGGGCCGCGTGAACAACCAACGCGGCCTCTGGCTGGCCGGGTGGATGCCGCTCGCTGCTGAAGCTTCCGTGGTTGTGGTTGTTTTTGTTTAATCCGGGGCACTGGGCTCACTCAAACAACTCCGCGTGGAAGCGTTGGCTCGTTATGGCGTTTGATATCCGACCTCTGCTTGTTCTTCCTGTCTCGGAGTAATTCCAAGAATTCATCTCTCGTGGTTCTTCGCTGTTGCACTGTTATTGGCAATGTCGTGTTTCTGTTTTACATGTGACTCTTCATGATTCAGTTCAGCTTTCTACAAGCACTGACTCTTGTTCGCTTCTTAATGCATCTTCTCCCTGCCCACCACGAATTATTCATTGCCCTCGGTATACTGTACAAGTATTCTTCCTCCCACACATCTCCAATGATTTAACGAACGTATTCAACCACTGGCTCCTGAGGACGTAGACTACGCTTTAGTGGGGACCGAACCGGGGTTGTGGCCTCAAAGTGGTGGTCATCTCCCACTGACGAGGTGGCTACAAAGTGGTGTTCATCTCCCACTGACGAGGTGGCCTGAAAGTGGTGGTCATCTCCCACTGACAAGGTGGCTACAAAGTGGTGTTCATCTCCCACTGACGAGGTGGCCTGAAAGTGGTGGTCATCTCCCACTGACGAGGTGGCCTCAAAGTGGTGGTCATCTCCCACTGACGAGGTGGCCTCAAAGTGGTGGTCATCTCTCACTGACGAGGTGGCCTCAAAGTGGTGGTCATCTCCCACTGACGAGGTGGCCTGAAAGTGGTGGTCATCTCCCACTGACGAGGTGGCCTCAAAGTGGTGGTCATCTCCCACTGACGAGGTGGCCTCAAAGTGGTGGTCATCTCTCACTGACGAGGTGACCACAAAGTGGTGATCATCTCTCACTGACGAGGTGGCCTCAAAGTGGTGGTCATCTCTCACTGACGAGGTGGCCTCAAAGTGGTGGTCATCTCCCACTGACGAGGTGACCACAAAGTGGTGATCATCTCTCACTGACGAGGTGGCCTCAAAGTGGTGGTCATCTCCCACTGACGAGGTGGCCTCAAAGTGGTGTTCATCTCTCACTGACGAGGTGGCCTCAAAGTGGTGGTCATCTCCCACTGACGAGGTGGCCTCAAAGTGGTGGTCATCTCTCACTGACGAGGTGGCCTCAAAGTGGTGATCATCTCTCACTGACGAGGTGGCCACAAAGTGGTGGTCATCTCTCACTGACGAGGTGGCCTCAAAGTGGTGGTCATCTCCCACTGACGAGGTGACCACAAAGTGGTGGTCATCTCCCACTGACGAGGTGGCCACAAAGTGGTGGTCATCTCTCACTGACGAGGTGGCCTCAAAGTGGTGGTCATCTCCCACTGACGAGGTGGCCTCAAAGTGGTGGTCATCTCTCACTGACGAGGTGGCCTCAAAGTGGTGATCATCTCTCACTGACGAGGTGGCCACAAAGTGGTGGTCATCTCTCACTGACGAGGTGGCCTCAAAGTGGTGGTCATCTCTCACTGACGAGGTGACCACAAAGTGGTGGTCATCTCTCACTGACGAGGTGGCCTCCAAGTGGTGGTCATCTCCCACTGACGAGGTGGCCTCGAAGTGGTGATCATCTCTCACTGACGAGGTGGCCTCAAAGTGGTGGTCATCTCCCACTGACGAGGTGACCACAAAGTGGTGGTCATCTCTCACTGACGAGGTGGCCTCAAAGTGGTGGTCATCTCTCACTGACGAGGTGGCCTCGAAGTGGTGATCATCTCTCACTGACGAGGTGGCCTCAAAGTGGTGGTCATCTCTCACTGACGAGGTGGCCTCAAAGTGGTGGTCATCTCCCACTGACGAGGTGGCCTCAAAGTGGTGTTCATTTCTCACTGACGAGGTGGCCTCAAAGTGGTGGTCATCTCCCACTGACGAGGTGGCCACAAAGTGGTGGTCATCTCCCACTGACGAGGTGGCCTCAAAGTGGTGGTCATCTCCCACTGACGAGCTGCTTGGCTGCACTAATCGAGTACTAGAGGGGACATTCCCCCCCCACATGGACACGGTTTCCCATTACAGCGATCTCGGTCACCTGCTGCCACGTGCATCTGCCTCTTGCAGTTAGAGTAGCAGGGACTTTTGAGGGATGCGTGCTTTAAAAGTTATTTTGAAAGTTCAGTTCGGCCCTCGGTACGGAAAAGGTTTGACATTCTCGGCCTGTGCAATGCTTAGTCCAAGCACGGGAATGTGGAATTTCCACCGCTGGTGCAGGACCTGCCTTTTTGAGATGAATGACCACCCCAGAGACAGTTTGTGTGACTTCGACAGACACTGTTATGTTTAAAGTGCGTGTACACGATTAAACTTAATAAGCTCAGAAACCATCCCCTTACTCTCCTAAACAGCTTGAAAACCATCATCTGAACATTGTGGCAAACAAACAGCAACCAATGGCTGTGGTAAAACTGCCAAGCTGTCAAAGTTAGTTAACAAAGCCAGTATGTTGTGTACAGCCCACAGGAGGTGCAGCATGAAATCAAGGCCTTCTTGTCAGGCATGGACCCGGTGCATGGGAACAAGCTCACTCTGCGTGACCACGCCAAGTGTGCCCTCCTGCTTCTCAGGTGCTGCCTCCTTTGTTGTTGTTGTGTATTCTTGTGCAAATTG